AAAAAGTATTCAGAGTGTGGCAAAGCAGGAATCTACAATCTAGATGACCCTATCCAGCAAAGCTATCATTTAGAATGGAAGGACAGATAAAGTGCTTCCCAGACAAGGTAGAGCTTAAGGAGTGCATCATCACCAAGCCATTATTATAGGAAACGTTAAAGGGAAATATATTAGAAAAAAAAATCAAAATGATGAACGTTAAAATGCCAGAAAATTCATAGCCATCAATAATTGAATCCAAATAACAATCCAAGCAAACAAGCAGGACAGGGACAGAATCATAGATATGGAGATCTTTGGAGGGTTATCAGCGGGGAGTGGGAAGGAAGAGAATGGAGGGAAAAGGTGGAGGATTAAGAAGCATAACTGGTGGGTGCAAAATAGACAGGAGGAGGTTAAGAATAGCATAGGACACGGAGAAGCCAAAGAACTTATAGGTATGACCCATATTCATGAACTAAGGGGGGACTGCTGGAGGGAGTGGGGGTACTAGGTGGAGGGGGACAAAGGGGAAAAATTTGGACAACTGCCGTAACAGCATAATCTTTGAAATATATTTAAAAAATTTATGCAGTCAAATTGCTTACAAAACTGTACTTACAATTCAAGATTTTGAGTCATAGTTAAAAAAATATTTTCTACTTCCAGGTTTTAAAGGAAGTTACCTAAGTTTTCTTTTAGTATATGTATGGTTTCATTTTAACTTATATTTGGATAGCTAATTTATTTAAGTAAAATTTTTTTCATGTGGGTTTTGCACATTTTCCATCCAGTTTATTCTTAAGTATTTTATCTTTTTTTTTTTTTGCTGCCATTGTAAATGAGTTTCTCTTCCAAAATGTCTTCTAACTGGTTAATGGTTATATGTTGAAAGACTACTTGTTTATTTATGTTAATTTTATATCCTGCAAATTTTGCAGAATTTAAATTTTTGTGGGTTCCCCCTGCCCCCATTGATTCTCTTGGGTTTTCCATGAATAACTAGAAATAGTGAATATACTTACTTTTAATTTTCTAACCCCTGCTTCTCTCACCTAGTGAAATTGGCTAACTTTTCTGAAGTGTCACTAGTTGTGGGGATAGTGAGTGTCCCTGTCTTATTCTTGACTTTCTTGGGAAAACCTCCAGTGTTTTCTCATTGAAAAAGATGTTGGGGCTGAGTGTGTGTGTGTTTGTGTGTCTGTGTGTAACTATGTCAAGAAAGAATTTATCAATATTTATTTCATTGAGTGTTTTTTATTTAATCAGTCATGGGGATTGAATTTTCTTTTCAGCATTAAAGGGGAAAAACCATATGATTTTTCTATGTAGATCTAGTATTTAATATTAATAGATTTCCCAGCATTGAATCTCCTGGAGTACATTCTACCTCATTATTATGTATTTTGCTTAATATGCTATTGGGGTCTGTGACTATTTTATTTAGAATTTTTCTCCCTCAACACTTGAGAGATTAGGACTATGGATGATCATAACAATTTTTGTAACATTTTGAAGTTCATGTCATAAAACTAATTTAGAAGTCTTCCTTTACATCCTGTGTGTGTATATTTTAACCAACATTGAAATTACCTGCCCTTGAACGGTTCATTGCAGCCCACCCGTGAAACCCCCCAGGCCTGGCGTTCTCATCACTGGTGGAGGGAGCGCCCTTGGTGATTGCTCGGCTCCTGGGATGGCTGATGTGTTCACGCGGATGCGTTCACGTGTATGTTCATTCTAGTCTTGGCTGCCCTGGAGGCTGAGGGCTCCAGGGAGTAGGACTCAGAACGGAAGTTTCCAGGATAGAGGACGCCTTTCCCAAGGCAGATGGGACCAGGGTGGACTGACAGTATGGTCCTATCTAGGATGGGGGAGGAGCGTTGAGGGGGTGATGTTGTGGGCGAGCGGGCTGTGGAGAGAGGTGCAGGAGAGGCCTAAGTGGAGCAGAGATCAGCTGCTTCTTCCCAAAGACTTTTCTATGTGCACTCCAGCCTCCCACAGGGGTCTCTGTCCTACTACCTGGCTGGGAAGGGAAGGAAGTTCCCGGTAGTCCACTGAAGTCCTTGGCAGCCTTTGTCAGGAAGGTCCTCAGAGTCGCCTCACTGAGGGAGCTGGAACGACTACAGTCAGCAATCCCACCCCCAGACTCCACTCACTTGCATTTACCAGGAACCAGTTTCAGCCAACAAACCCCAGGGCTCACAGACTTACTAAAATGTTTCAGGCGATAGCCATTCCTCTCATGCTGGGTCTTTGATTTTCTGAGGCAGCTCTCTCCACAAGGGGCTTTCAAACAACCACCCCATTGCTCCCATGGCTCCCCTGGGAGACGGCTTTGCTATGACAAGGGGTAGATGGGGGAGGGGACACAGGGCAGACCCTTCTGTGTTCTCTCTTTCCCACTCCCAGAGCCCTCTGCGGACCTGCAGGCATCAGGGCCCTCTGCCCCCTTGGCCACAAGACAGCCCGCTACCACAAGGTGCTCACTGCTGCCGCTGCAGGACGTTGCACTTGATGAAAGTCTTGGAAAAGAGGAAGAAAGTTGTGATATTCCTGAAGCTCCCCAACCATGCCAGAGCTCAAGGGAGGATTTTGGAGAGGCTGAAGATTAAAGACACTGCTGAGAGATTGGTCTGCACCCAGAGAAAAATCTAGGTAGTGTTTCCTGTGTACAAGTTAAAGGTCTTATATGAGGTGTGACCACGTCAGCTATGTTCTTTTGGTTCTGTGACCCCTGCCCGTGGCCACAGGTTTCCCTCTACAGTGAGGCGGGGGAGGGTTGGAGTGTCTGTGGGCTCACAGGGGGCTTGCAGGGTGAGGGGAAGGCTGGGCTGGGAAAAGAATGAGGGGCCGGGGAGAGTTTTGCATTCTAGGCCAGCACTACTTGCCCTTTACATGCAAACAGTCTCTTAGTATTTACGCCCATGTGGCTGCAACAAGACTAACCAGACCCTTTAGGCCACAACGACGGAAGTGAGGGCAGAAAAAACTATGGGGCTCCTTTTAAAAGTTTCAAATGGAGAGGTGAGTCAGGTTCATGCTTGTGCCAAAAGGCGGCCAGCTGACCCAAAGGTCTCCTGCAGTCTGGGAGCTCTCGGTCCAGGCCTGCTCCTCCGAGAAAAACCAGTCACTTGACTGGTGGCTGGTCAAACCAGCAAGTGTTCTAGACAGAGCCCTGCCCAGTAGGAGACTCCAAACAGGGATTTCTGGAACGTTCCTGGGGGAAGAACCTCCCGTCATTCACCTTCCTCCCAGGCCTCTTCAGGGTCTGGCTGGTACAGTGGCCACTTGTCTGCTGGGACAGTTTAGCCTCATATTCTTATGTCAGGCACATGTGACAGTATGAGGAGGCCCTAGAGTCCAGAGACCAGGGTTTACTCCTGGCAAAATACATCACCCAGACAGAGAGAGATTCTCCTCTGATTTTCCCTTTACTTCCTTGATTAATACTATTCTCAATACTGCCATTGGGGAATTGAACCCTTCCTGTGCTCCAGACACTGTTCTAAATACTCTCCCAAACTTCCACCCACCAGATCTTCACAATGACCCATAAAAAGGGGAAGAAGATATTTTCTTTCTTTCTTTCTTTCTTTCTTTCTTTCTTTCTTTCTTTCTTTCTTTCTTTCTTTCTTTCTTTCTTTCTTTCTTTCTTTCTTTTTTTTACTGCAGATGAGGAAACTGAATCCTAAGGAGGTTAACTTTCTTAAGGTCACCAAACCAAGGTGAATGTGGACCCAGGTATTTGCTGCTCTAGAGCCTGTTACTCACCAGCTCCACTGTCTCTGAAGACCGACGTTCAGCAGAATGGACTTGACCGTGTTCCTCTTTGAACTGATTGCTTAGAAGCAAATAGAAAAATTCCCTAATTTTTTTGTTATTGTTCCTTTAACTAAAGGGACCATGACTGTTGAAAAGCCAGTTGTATTTTGATGTGAGCCTTGAAGGACAGGCTGCCTTGGGAAAGGCAGCGAGAAGCTGGTGAGGCATGTATTTTCCAAGGGGCTGGCGGTGGGCTGTGGGACGTGAACGGGCCCTGGTGCAGAGTTGGGAATAGGCAGGACTAGGGAGGGAAGAGGCTGCTCTTAGGTGAAGCATCAGTGGAGAAGGATGACAGGAGCCTGGAGGGTGTGGGATGCTCAGGGTGCTTGCCGGGAGGGATGGGGACAGAGCTCCAGGCTCCGGATGCTTCCCCTGGTGGAGCTGTGTAGTCCGGACACTCACTGTGGAACTCGCGCAAAGAAGCAGCGGGGAGCCCTGAAGGCAGCTGAATGTGGACCCTCCACCTCCTCTCCTCAGAGAGTGGCTTTGCCAGGAAGTCTGCTTCAACTGTGAACTGTCTGAGGGCTCGGCTAGGATTGTTTATGCTCATATTGCCAGAGTTGGCTGTTGAGTCTGGTGCTTTGTAGGTACCCAGGGATTTTCAAACAAAGTAAGCAAGGGTTGCCCAATCTCTTTCCAGGGTCAGGTGACTGGGGGCTCACCCTACTTTGCATTCCTGGTTTTCCTGGGGTTGCCACGAACAAGAAAACTCATTCTTCTGGTCTCCACTGATAATACGGGGTCAGAGAGATTAAGCTGGAATTCAACAGTCTCAATCCATGTAAACAAGACAGAAGACAGAGGATTTGAGGAGAGGACCTCATTCAAGCGAAAGGGCTATGTTTGCTCAAGACTTGTGTCCCATCCATGTCTGGTCCCCCCTACTCAATGCCTCTTGTTCACTGGCTCATTAGATTTCGAGTGCAATTCCTAGCCTAAAAGTGAACAGACTTGAGTTTCTCTTATCTTTGCACACTCTCTAGTAGGGTGAAGTCAGGGTGAGACAGGTAACAGGCTCTGTAAATCCTGGGCATGCCACAGATACCCTGGCATGAGTTTGTTAAATAAAGGCTGATTTAAAAAAAAAAGTGCAGTAAGAGAATTTACAACAGCAGATTGGCTAATAGTAATCCGAAGACCAGTGTAATGTACCTCTAACCACATCTGTGCTTATTTTTTAATGTGTTTCCTTCATGGTCTTTCTTGTGGCTCGCCCTGTGCACCTTGTGTACTTGCTGAGAAATTTATGCGTCTTTGGTTTTGCTGAACTCAGTTTTTCCGAGACCCTCTCTCCTCACAGGCTCAGTTTCGCTTTGCCATCTGCAGTGGGCCTGTTTCCGTGGCAGATCAGGCCACATCTGCTTCCTGGAGGCCCTCTGGGCAGAAGCATGCAGTGGGGCCTCCTGCTGCTCTGGGCCCAGGGGCTGAGGCAGGCTGCCGCCCTGGCTTCAGGTAAGAGCTGCAAGTCCAGCCTAGAGAGAATCTAAGGTAGAGGGACAGTGGGGAGGAGGACAGGGGAGGCTGGGAGTGAACGCTGCGTCTGTCTGCGGGGAGAGGGCCACAGTTTTCGGAGCCCTGCATCCTCTTCTCTTTTCTGAGAAGGAGGCGCAGGTCTGTCGTGGGTGGCAGGTGAAGGACCCGAGGTTGGGAGAACCTCGCTGGCTCACCCAGGAAAGGAGGCAGCGGGAGAGAAAGGAACTCAGAAGGAGGAATAATCAAGTCCCTTGTAGAATTTTGCTACTGCTCCATCTTCCTTTCTTCTGTCCTTGAGGAAACTTCTAGAAACATATTGTACATCTTTCTGTGGATCAGAATTCTAGAGGTTCTATCATTATGGATTGAATCTATGCTAGATCTATTTCCTTCTGTATTAAAAGGGACACGGATATTTAAAAACTGCAGCACACATTAGTTTTTACGTCGCTTTCTGAACCATCGAAGGGGAGTGTAAGAGCCAAGAGGTGGCCTTGCCTCGGAGCAACAGTTTCTCTCCAGCGCGCCTTCCCTGTGCATCCCACGGCTTTCCTGGAGGGCTTTCTGGGTCCCCCAAGTGGCAGTCACCCAAACAGCCAGATTTTATTTCAAAGGAGAATGAGTCCAGCGCAGAACTGAGCTGCTGGGAGATTCAGTGAAACAGGCTCCCAGGGTCTACATTCTGGGTGGGGGGAGGCAAAGTAAGCACAAGAGAGCAACTCTGGAGCGGGCCATGGTCCCCCAGTGGACCATGAACCACAGCGGAGTATCCTAGGATGGGGAAGTGCTCTGCTGTGTGGCAATTACAGTCCCCCCGGGGGAGGGACAGGAGGGTCTGCGGAGCATTCCAAAGGCCAACGCTGGACACGAAGCCCCTTGGAATTTCCACGGGAAGGTCCGAGGCCAGTTGTGGACCCGAGACTCACGCATGCTTTTTCCTGCCCCAGGAGCTGTGACAGGCAGAATAATAACCACAGGGAACATCTCTGCAGAGGAAGGGGGCTCGGTCACCTTACAGTGTCACCTTTCCTTCACCACTGCCACAGTGACTCAGGTGGACTGGAAGCAGCAGGACCAAGTGCTGGCCGTTTACCACGCTCACCTGGGCTGGCACGTCCACCCAGCCCTCAGGGAGCGGGTGGCCCCCGGCCCCCACCTGGACCTCACTCTCGGGTCGCTGACCACCAACGACACAGGGGAGTACTCCTGCATCTATTACACCTTCCCCGATGGCATGTACAAAGGCAGACTCTTTCTGGAGGTCCTGCAAAGCTCAGGTACGCCCTCTGGGCAGAGGGGCTGCTGCATCCCGCCCTCTAGGATAGAAAAGGCATCCCTGTCAAACACGGGGGAGCAGGGCCTCTGACCCGGGCTCACAGTCACGTCACCCGGGAGCTTTTCTATACCGCCGATGCCAGTGCCCTGGCCCCGACCGACTCCACCAGCGTCCCTGGGGGCAGAGCCAGGGTGTGGCAGGTCTATGGGTGTCCCTGGTGACTCGAATGTGCAGCCAGGGCTGAGAGCCACACTTTTGGGTATAAGAAGCACATTTTATGTGTGTTTACTAGAAAGACCAGTTGATCAGGTCGTCTAAAAAATGTTCTCATTTATTAGTTTAGCATGGATCATGCAAATTAGAATTAGCCCCCAAACTTATAAAGCATTAGAGCTAGTTAAAACCGAAGCTTAAAAATGTTTAAACATTTTTCCATTACAGTCGACATGCAATATTACATTAGTTTCAGGTGAACAACATAGTGATTAGGCATTTATATAACTTATAAAGTGATCACCCTGATAATTCCAGTGCCCATCAGTCACCATACACAGTTATTACAATATCGCTGCCGATGTTCCCTGTGCTGTACTCACGCCTCAGTGACTGCTTTTACAGCTGGCAATTCCTGCATCTTAACCCCGTCCTCTCTTTCACCTGTTCCCCCAACTCTCCACCCATCTGGCAACTGTCGGTTTGTTCTCTGTGTCTATGAGTTTATTTCCGTTTTGTTTGCTCGTGTATTTGTTTTTTAGATTCTACATATACGTGAAATCACATGGCATCTGTCTTTTCTCTCTGACTCATTTCACTCAGCATCACGCCCTCCGGGTCCATCGTGCTGCTGCAGATGGTGGGATTTCCTCCTCTTCCCGTCTGACCAGCGTCCCACTGTGCGTTCGCACCACGTCCTCTCCACGCGCCCGTCTGTCAGTGGGCACGAGGTGGCTGCCGTGTCCCGGCCGTCGTGAATGTGCCGCAGTGAACCTAAGGGTGCACATATCTTTTCAAATCGGTGTTTTGTCTTCTTCACATAAATACCCAGAAGTGGAATTGCTGGGTCATAGGGCAGTTCTATCTTTAACTGATGATGATTCACACTTGGGTGCACTTCATAGTTTCCAAAATAACCCCACATTCGTTATCCATCTGGACACGTGAACCAGTTGTCTGGAAGGTGACAAAGGGTTATTATCACACCTGAGAGTGGTTGTGAGCTCAGACTGACGCCAGACAGCTGGTGTCCACCCCCGGTGCTGCTGTTGACCTCAGACAAGATTACTTAGCTCCTCCGTGCACTGCTTTTCTCATTAGTGAAATGAGGGTGATTGTGAGCCCTTATGAAGTGCTAACATGGGACTGAACTCCTTACTGCCAGAAAATGCCTAGAGAACAGCACCTGGAACAGGCGTGATGAACACCAAGTAAATCTCAGCTGGGAACACGAGTCCTCTCCCACTGGCTTGCTCGGAGCATTAGAGCTGATTCGGACACAGGCGCGCTGGTTCCCCTAAACTGCTCCCCCCCAACTTCAATTTGCTTATTGTGTGGGAGATCAAGTTTCATGAGTTAGCAAAGTCTGTGAAACTGTTATCTTAAAGTTTCTTCTCAAATGCTAATTCTCTGCTGGCTCTGATATAAGCCCATGAAGCATGCAGACCAGAGCCACCCAGCCCCTGTTCCTGGTTGTGTGCACAGCCCTCTGCATCCGCCCTCCACCACCGCTTTGCTCCCCCCCGCCCTCTTTCCTCGCCTGTGGCCAAGCAGGAAACTGAATCCTCAGGGCAGAAGAAACTCGCTCTGGGAATTCGGGCTCCCTCTCCTACCCCTCCCAGCTCTGCATCGGGACTGTGGGCACTGCCCTGTCCTAGGCACGGCATTCCTCAGCCACCTTCCCTGCAATCTAAGCCCATCGTCGGAGGAAAGAGGCCCGGCCTCTGCTACACTCTTCTCTTTTCTCCCTGGACACCTGAGTTCTGCCCAAGCTTCTGGGAAGGAGGGGAGATCTGGTGGAGCAGCCAGAAACCCTCCCACCTAGAGCACGGCCCAGGGCGGGCCACTGCCCCTTTCTCTCACACCCCCCTTGGGCCAAATACCGCTCCTCTCTTCAAAACTTCCTCCTGCCTCTTCCTCCTTCCAGTGACATTTTACGTCAATAGAAATTCGCTTATTCACACCTCAATTCATACCACAGACACTTATTAAGCAACATGTGTGATACGAACGAAAGGAAAACAGCCGAGGACCGCACTCCCTCTGGGCCCCACAGCCGAGGTGAGCAAGTGCTAGAGGCTTAAGGTGCAAGGTTATGTGCTTTTTTCTTTTTTGCATGTTAGTATTAATTTTATTTTAATTTTTAAGTCATTTTTCTACAAGTATGGTTATAAATATGAAGTTTAATAAAAATGTTCCTTTTCCACTTTTTCTGGACGTTATCATTCGTTTCATTGCATGATAATCACTAGCAGCGGTTTTGTGGAGTCGAGGGAGGGAGCGCTGGTGTCCGGCGTGTGAGGCAGACCGCAGCTGCTGGGCCGATGGGTCCAACCCTGTGGCCGGAGGAAGGCGGGCCAGTCCCCACCTCGGCGCCCCGCCGCTCCGGCTTCCCTGGGGAGCGGTCGGCCCACTTCCTTTATTCTGTCCTCCCCCCAGGGCCTGAGCAACGCGCTGGCTTCCAGATCCTATTGCTTGGAGTCATATTGCTGGTGGTCATCTGCACGGCGGTCATAGCGGTGGTCGCGTTGACCAGGAAGGTAACGATTCTGGCTGACATCCAGTCACGGCACCTGACCCTGCCGCCCTGGCCTTTTCAGGGACTTTCTGTCCAGAGAGAGACTTAGAGGTGGTCTCCCCACTGCTCTTTGTGCCTTTTTCAGGGTCCTCGTTTTGCCTCTTTGTGAAGTTGTTCATATTCTTCTTCTGTCCCCCTCCCTTCTGTGGGAGCTCCCGGAAGGTTGGGCCTGTCACCTGCCTGCCCCTCACGCCAGTCCCCTGGGAGACTGACCGATCTGCTCCGACTCGGGTGCATCTTGGCAATGTACCCCGTGCTAGGTGTTTCTGTACATGAGTCATTGAATTTTAACGATCCTTCAGCAGTGCTGGGCCGCCCAGCCATTCTGCAGGATGAGAAACAAGAGCGGGGGAGACCCCTGACCCGCACCAAGACCCTGGTGGAGGAGGCTCACTCAGGCCCCAGCCCGCCTTCCTCCGAAGTTCTGCCTCTGGCGGTCAGGGTCCGCGCAGGAGAGGGCGCTTCTGTGAATGCCTGCACGGCACACCAGGACAGTCCAGCAAAAGCCACCCAATTTCCCAGTCCTAATAACCACTGCTTCCCGCACACTTCTCCGATGTCAGAGCCATGGCACCGGCTCAAAGTGGCCTCCCACCCGTGCCCCACCCCACTCAGCACGGGCGGTGGGGTCTGTACTTCCACCCTGCCCACCGGGGAGTCTCCTTCCACAGGCCATCCAGGGCTGTTCCCAGGGGCGGCCGTTTTAGATCAGGTCCAGGAAAGAGAGCCTGACGTGTGGATTCTGGCGACAGTAGGGTGAGTGAGCGCTCAGGTGAAGGGTGTTGAAGGAAGCAGAATGGGGCCAAGGTGAGAAAGTGCTGCCCGAAGTGGGCTTAGCCTGAGACTTGGTTGAAGCAAGAATTGTATGCAGAGTTGGTTGCGCCTTGAGGCAGGGAGCTGGCCTTGTAAAACCCCACCTCAGTCAGTCACTGCCTGCTGGCTGCTCACCAGGGAGGCCCAAGGCTGTGAGCCCCTCAGTCTGCGCTCCCAGGTCTGGGGGATGAGGCACCAGTCAGGCAGGCGGGGTCTGAGCCTGGCGCCAACAGCGCCCCCTACAGGCCCCGAGAGCCAGCAGGTTGCAGTGTCTGGGACCGCGGCCTTGGGAGTCAGACAGACCTGGGGTGGCCCGGGGCTCTGGCTGTATTACCAGCCTTGCCAACCCTCAGCTTCAGCATCGGTGGCTCGGAAATGATTGTGGTGCTGTTCTCATGGGGTTGTGGGAAACTTAAGTCAAATTATTCAAGTAAGCCACTTGGCATTTTTCCTGGCATATATTAATAACCATCACTCTTACAAATATATGGTTTTATAGTTATTATACATTTTATTTATTATGAGACCGCATAATACTCGGTGCTCAATAAATATTTACAGTGCTCGGATCTACTAGACTAAATGAAGGATTATTATTTGTCCAGCAGCTTTGGCAAAAGTGCCCCTAGGGCACCCTCTGCAAGGTTCAGGGAAGAGGGTGCGTGTCCTGCTGCTGGACCAGGGCGGCCCAGGGCGTTGTCCTTCCTCCTCGCCGTCCCCAGGGGGCAGTGCTGTCCCTGCCAGACCCAGCTGCAGTCTCAGCAGCGGCCTCTGATCCTTCTGGACTCAGGTGGCAAACACAAGGCCCGCAGGCTGAATCCGGCCTCCAGTTTATGTGCCTGGCACCTGGTTTCTACCGGAGGCAGCGCCAAGCTCTCACTTAACTGTTAAGGAGCAGTTACACTTACACAGTCCTAAGATTACATTCAGCCCTTTGAAGGCGACCTAGAGGCTGATGTGGCCCCTGTGAAAGTGAGTTTGACACCCTGCTTTAGGACACCAGTGCGTTAGTTTCAAACTTGTTTTTTACACTGATTCCAATTACGGAGTCCCCTATGCAGGACGGAAGGAAACAGAGCAGCTGAGAGACCCACCTCGGGCATATTTCTGATTCCCAGGGGCCTTTGGGAAGCCAAAAGAGTTCCCAGATTCAGAGGCCAGAGCGGCCGGTCTAAGAACAGGGCGAGAGCACAGCGTGAGGGGCTCGCAGCTCTCTGAGAGCGGGTTGCGTGCGTGTGCTCTGACCATGGGCGGGCTGCCTCACGCACCAGCATGAGCTTCAATAACCACCCTTTTCCTCACACTAGTTGGAGATAAGGTGCAGCCCCTCGTACTGAAAAGGAGCGAATGAAACAGTAGGAGGGGACAGATGCCTGACTCTTGTGAGTGCTTCCGAGACTATGGCTTCTCTCCAGCCCGGCTGCTCCGGCCTGCAGCCGGGTGTCACTCGGAGTTTTCTCATTTGTTTCCTGCGAACGTCCCTGCAGCCCTATCCACCCTCGCACTCACCGCCCGGCACGCATGTGTGTGCGCTGAGCTCCACGCTGCCGCCGGGGATGCTGCTGGTGCACCCAGTCCTGGAAGGAGGGGCAGAACGGAAGGTGGTTTGTTCGCTGTTGTTTTCCAACGCCGTGTGTGGCTCTTTGTGATTCTGTCCTTCAGGTCTTCGGTGCGGGCGAGCGACTTGCTCTAGAGTGGTTTCTAGGAGGACTGAGAGGGTGTCATCTTTGTACCCGTGTCATTAAGCATTTCGGGCGCCGTTCTGTGGGGGCCTGCCGCGTTCGGCTTCCTCGCCTTAGGGCAGCCCTCACCTGTGCTGCTCTCAGGAGCCGGGCCTCACATCCTTGCTCTTCCCCAACGGGTTTCACTGTTGTGGCCTGTTGCCCCACAGTTGCAGCGTCGCAGGTGTCCAACCGTGAGCCCCTGCTTCGATTTGGAAAATCCAGTTCTTTTAGGCACAGGGCTGTCGAAGAATGTGTGTGTGTGTGAGTGTGTGTGAGTGTGTGTGAGTCCTAAGACGTTTATCGAGCATGTGTTATGGGCCCTGGGGTCACGCAGAGGAACACGGCCCAGCCCCCGCCCACAGGGGGCTGCAGTGTGAGGAGATGAAGGGCGAACAGAAAGTCGGGTAAGAGCACTCGGTGTTACACAGCAGTATTCAGGACCATAGCTAGCCCGGCGGAGGGGGATGTAGCCCTCCCGGAGGGTCAGAAGGGTTTCTTTTTTTAATCCTCACCTGAGGATATGTTTTTTATTGATAGAGAGAGAGAGAGAGAGAAAGAGAGAAACATTGATATGAAAGAGAAACATCAATTGGTTGCCTGACTGGGATTCAAACCCACAAGATTTTGGTGTACGAGTTGCCATTTCAACCAATGGAGCCACCCGGCCAGGGCCAGAGGTGGCTTCTTGGACAAAGGGCTGTGGAGCCGAGTCTGGAGGTTGGAGTAGAGAACTTTTTCAGGGAACCACAGAGAACAGACAATGGGTGCAACACACACAAACCCGGGGAGTCAGGGAACAGTGCCTGGCTTTCTAGAAGCCGCAGGGTGAGAGGCAGCTTGGTTGAGGAGAAAACGTAGCCAGAGTCAGACGGACGTAAGTCAGAATCGGGTTGGTCCCTGGGCAGATGACTGCGCCGGTCTGTGCCTAGGAGCCAGCTCAGAACTTCCGCAGGGGTGTTGGCGAGGTTAGAGGAGAAGGCAGCCCTGCAGGCTCACAGTGGGGTCTCAGGAAACGGCAGCTCTCTGGCATCGGGCCCCACCCTGGGAGTTGGGGTTTGGCTGGGGTAGGGCTGCAGGACGTAAAGCTTAGTATGAACAAGTCACACAGGCATTGGGGGGGCGTCCCGCACAGCCCCTGAGTGGTGGACTTCCTTCCTAGCAGAGTGCACCTCATGCAATGGCCCTTCCTTCCTTCCTTCCTTCCTTCCTTCCTTCCTTCCTTCCTTCCTTCCTTCCTTCCTTCCTTCCTTCCTCTTTCTCTCTCTCTCTCTCTCTCTCTCTCTCTCACACACACACACACACACACACACACACACACACACCCCTTCAGTGGTTTTATAGATGCCTTGAAGTCCTCTTGTGGCCCCTGTACACAGTGGGAGACATCCAAGGGTTTAGGCGGAAGCATGGCACGGTGCGGCTTCCATCTCTGATGGATCACCTGCTGGTGGCCATGTGGAAGTTCGAGAGCTACCAGGGGCTCTAGAGGCGGGTGAGTACGGAAGTCCGGTGAGAGATAAGAGATGAAAGGAAGGATAGGAAAGGGAGTAGACTGCAGATTTTCTTAGGAGTAAACCAGGAGGGGATTTTACCTCCACCTGGAGTTTCACATCAGCCCCCAGGCTTCTGGCCTGGTAGACCGTGCTGTAAGGCGCGTTGGAGGCTGTGGGGCAGGAGCAGTGCCTGCAGGGAGCGGTGTTGGGTGCCTTGGAGGCAGGCTGAGCCCGAGCTTGCAGCGGCGGTGTCGCCGGGCAGCCTTGCCCAGTGAGCAGGTGGGCGCCTGGGTCTGGATCTCAGGGCAGAAGCCGGGGGCTGGTTTGGGGAGAGACTCGGGAGTCACCAGAGGGAGGAGGGTGGTTGTAGATGTTCATGTAGATGCAGTGACTCAGAGAGAGTGTTGAATGTGAGAAAGCAGAGGGCCGAACCCTGGGAAGGAAAACCCTTTATTTGAGGCGCTGATGGGCAAGCAGAACAGCGAAGATGAAGGTGGGGTTTCCAGGAGGAGGAGGAGGAGAAGCCGGAGGGAGCGGTGCCCTGGACGCCTGGGAAGAAGGCCGCTTAGACAGGACGAGGTCCGCGGGCCGGGTGGTCAAGAGGAAGAGAAGTGGGGTCCCGGGGCTTAGCAAACAGGAAGGAATGAGCGCGGGCACACTGTGCGTGGACACACTGTGTGCGCAGCTTGTTTGTCCGCCCCACCCCCCACCCTGCGGGTGGTTAGCGCTGCAGCCCAGCAGTGACAAAGGTGAGACATTGAGGGCGGAGGAGTCTGTGTCGGTGAGAACACAGCGCTGCCTGAGTGTGTGTGTAAGAAAGGAAAAGAGATCGTCGTAATCATGTGTCATGTTGAGTACTTTTTGAATACCATCCCTACACGCTCACTTTGCAATTTGTTTGTTTTAGAGGAAATTTCTTCGAATTCGTTCTGCGGGAAGCGGCCTCCGGAGAGCGCCACCCGAATGGGAAGAACGGGGACCCAGCGACCTGTCGTCCCCCGGGAGCGGCGCGCAGGCCGGAGCGGGGCCCGGCGGGGACGACCCCGCGGAGCCGCACGACTACTTCAACGTCCTGAGCTACCGCAGCCTCGGGGACATCAGCTTCCCGGCGGAGGCCGCGGTGTGTCGGGCGGGAGTTTAGGGTGCGCGCTCTCCTCACTGCCGCGCGTGTGTTCGGTGTGTGCGCTCCGTGCAGTGACTGAGTGAATGTCGCCTTCGCCTTCGCCTGCATTGCCGCCCCCCGTCCCTGGCAGACCAGGGCAGCGGCTCGGCTCGATTACGAATGCCACGTTTTAAAAAATTGGACCCGGGTTTGTATTCGGGCGGTTTGAGCCCCAACTGTGGCTCTGAGCGGTTCGTTGCAGCTCCTCGTGCCTCTGAGCAGGGGGTCAGGTGACGGGGTCATTGTCATTTTTGCCAACGTTCACACATTCGAGGCATGTCATGATTAAGGGGTGGGACCAGCTTCTGCGGGGAGATTCTAGGATGACCAAACCGTGGTCGTCAGTCCTAGAAGAACTCGCAGGCAAGTGGGGAGGGCACGGGGACGTGGAAGGGCCGCGGGAGACAAGGACAGGAGCCCCGGGCCTTGGGGAAGGCGCACCGTCTCCTCCCGGGAGGCGGTCTGGGCGGGCGTGTCCGTGGGGAGGTGGTCTGGGCGGATGCAGGGGACAGCGAGGCTGGTCTGGTGAGGGCAGGACTTTTGTCCAAAGAACTCGTTTTGTCCAAGGAGCTGAAAGTCCCACAAGAAAGACCCTGGCACGAAGGGAATCGATGAGACTTCAGACTCTATCTGGGCAGGCGGTTGCTCAGTGTGGGCGGATGAGGGGGACTCCAGCTGAAGTCACCAGGTGGCATCTCAGCTCTTGGGCAGTGAGCCCTCTTCTCTACCCCCCCACCACTGAGGTTCGAGGAAATAATCTGCTTTCCAGTAAAAGGAGAACCTAGATTTTTAAAATAAGGACTATTTGTAGGGAAAATACATAGAAGGAGGGTGACAGAGAGGTTTTTAAAAATGTACGCTCCCAAACTATCTTCTCTGAACCCTTCAATTCAGCCCTCAGGCCTTCGTGCTGGGGCCGGGGTGACATTGGAGCCACTCTTTTCTGTCTAAGTGGTGTGAGGTTTTTACCCTCCTGCTGCCCCTCTCGAGAAAGGAGGAGGGAGGCTGGCTCAGAGGGGAGCAATGCTCTCTGGTGGGCAAGGGGACCGAGAGAGAATGGGAAGCAAGCTGCCTCTTGCCAACCGTTAAAATGAAGCCTTGCCCTGCTCCCTGCAAATTAGGCTGGTTGAGCAAGAAGACAATTCAATTCCTACTCCTCCTCGAATTTTTGTTTTTATATTTCTCACTTATCAACCAAAAAGATCTGTGGGGAGGAGCAATGGGCTGAAATCTGTCCAGAGTGCAAGGTTTGGGGAAGAAAGAGAGATATGTGGGAAACGCTGCTATTTGCCACAGCAGCGCCACAGCATTTTTCTGGCAAAGCTGGTGCAAATTGGTTGGGAGTAGAACACAATTCACGGGCAAGAAATGAACTAAGATGTAACGGTGAAAAGGGAGTGGTGTTCTGATCTGACGGAGATGTGTTTCAGGCCTGGGTGGAATGAGCTGGGTGTTATTTAACATTATTGTACCTGGGAAACATTTACAAATACCCTTTGGAGTCGATAAAAATACAAAAGGACCCATGGATGCTGTAAGTTGGTCAGGTAACTAAAATGCGATTGAATTCAACAGAGAATACATTTTAGAGTGGAATTCAATGGACAGATTCTCCTCGGAGAACCAGTGGAGACAAAGCGGCAGCAGCCCGGTTCAGGGGTGGCGCGCGGTTCGGTCCAGCAGCCGCTCTCTGCCGGCAGCTACGAGCACGAGAGACGAGGTTGGTCTGTGTGGAGCTGCGCGTTGCTCCAAGGGTGAAACACACACCAGATTTTGAAGACTTACTATGAATAATAATAAGAATGTAAAGTATCACATTAGTAACTTAAAATGTTGATCACATGTCAAACTGAAAATGTTTTGGATATGCTGGATTAAATAAAATATATTATTAAGATGAATTTCCCCTATTTATTTTTACTCTCTTAATGTGACTACTGGAAAATCTAAAATTGCTTCTGTGACCCCCATTGCATTTCAGTTGGACCAGGTGGCTCCAGACCCCATACCTGAGCCACGCTGGCATCCGGGGCAGTGCTCGTCTTTGACTGGTAGTCTCTGTCAGTCTCTCATTCAAGTGGGGTTTCGTTAGCTTTTTTCCTTTTATTATGTGTGTCTGGACATACGCAGGGAAGAATCACAGGGGAGCCTGAGTGAGGCAGGGGACCACTAACTGGGAACAGGAAGAGACCCTAGGCTCTCTTGGATGCCCTCCCGAATTCCTTCACAGGAGGAGAGGAGAACAGAAGGGGATGAGAGTTCCTGGAGAAATCAGTTTACTGAGGCCCGACTCCTTATCACCCCACATTCAAAGCCGGGGCACATAGAATCTGATCTATAATCCAAAGAATTATACTGAACAAATATGAGAAAATCGGGTCAGGGAGCTTGGAGGGAGATGATTATCCTGGGTGGACAGGACCTTTGCATTGCAGTTCCATTTCATGACTTGCCCTTCTCACCCCGTGAGCCCCTGGAGTCCCAGTGTCTCCGCACAGCCAGGTTCCCAGAGATCCCAGCGGTGGTGAGCTAGCTGGGCGGATGGGCGGGGTGTGTGCCGCACAGGAAGGGCAGTGTCCTGCTGGCCAACCGCCCCCGACAAAGAGGAGGGAGTCAGCATCATGGCTGTGCTTCAGCTGTGCGGCGCCAGTTCTGTTCAGTCTTCTGCTTCTTTCCAGTCCCGTGTCAATGCTGCAACTAGTGACGTAATCCTGCACCTCCACTTCACATCACACCTGTCAGGAGGCCCGGGGGAGCCTTCTGTGTGGAAGAGCCTGCCCTTGTGGGGTCAGGACTATGTACTTCGATGCTTCAGTGAGTCAGTTTGCATAGGATACAGTTGAGGACAGGACTATCCCACTGAACTTTCTGGGATGAAAATTCAGTATGGCAGCTGCGAGCCACACACAGCTTCCGTGGACCTGAAAGAAGGCTCATGTGACTAAGGAACTTGAATTTTACATTTTATTTCACTTAAATTAATTCAAATGCAAGTGGTGACATGCGACTGGTAGCTAGTATATTAGGTATTGCAGTCCTAGTAATTGCCTTGCACACAGAGAAAACACAGAGGTGTGTTTATAGGCCATTGGATCGCTCTACACATGCTGCCAGGCATTTGAAAGAACTATGACCAGGAGGAAACAGACAGATTCTTTCCTAGTGTCCTGTATCCTTGCTTTAAGACAAAGCATGAGGTCAAAAGCAGGGTGTGAATTTATCTCAGACTCTTTCCAAAAGTTATTTGAGGTAGCCAAGTGGTCCAGTTATTGTGCACAGGTTTGGGGCCGTGAAGAAGTTTTGCAGCTCATAGGTGTTATGCAGGAATAGACTTGCAGCATAACTATCCTTCTGACTTCACGCAGGTTGTGAGGAATACCTTCTCCGCGGGCGGAGGTCTGGCTGCTTTCATAGAGACCAACAGAGAAGTGGCTCTGGCGGGTGGTGGGCGGGGCATCGAGGTCCTTGGTCCAAGCATTGAGCATTGCCACGCCGCTCCCTGGCATTGGAATGACCTCAACTTGCCCATCCTCATTGCAAAGGTTTCCTCATTTACACAATGATAATAATAACATCTACTCATAGGGGTCGTGGGAAGACACAGTAAGATGATGTGGTTGACTCTGCAATATGCAAAATGCCAAGCTCACGTTCATGTTGCGTTTGTGTCACAAGCACGTGTGTCCGGCACCGGCCCCGACGGGACATAGAATCTTTCTGGGATCAACTAAGGTATCTGGAATTACCAAACCCTTAATCATTGGGATTCAAGGAATGCTAAGAATTACAGATATATCTTTGGGGTCTACAAGTTATCTGTATTTTAAAATTTTGTGTTGTGAGATGATAATCTTTTAAAAAGTCAAACATCTTGGGTTTTGATCACCTTCCTATGATAGAGTGCTGTCAATATCTTCAGTCTTTGTATTTGTGTTTATAATTAAGTTGATTTCAAGGTACGGAGGCTCCATTGATGAATAATTCATATGTTCCGAGTGGGCGGAGCGGCGGAGTCCGGGGACTCGGGTGGTGGTGGAAGGGGCGCCCTCAGGGCGCACGCAGTGCCCGGGTGCGGGGCGGTCCGATGCGCGCTCGGAGGCGCTCTTGCCCACGCAGGCAGCCCTTACAATTCTGGAAGAGCTATAAGGTTTACCAGGTTGTATGAGCAGATTTAAGAAAGACTATAAAATTTTTTTAAGATTCTATTTTATAAAATAATTTATTTTGTGAAGATTATACAGATTCTAATATTTTAAGAATCTAATGAAATATTTTTATAAAGTTTATAAAGATATTTTATAATCTTTCTTAAATATGTTCAAACATACAACCTGGTAAACCTTATAGCTCCTGGAGAACTGTAAGACTAAGATAAAAATAAATAGAAGTCAACTTTAAATAAATATGAAATACAAGTAAAAATAAAACTAGGAAATTAATAGGTTAAAGTGACAACATGAAGGGGACTGACTGTGGGGGGCGCTGGAAGTGCAGAGCAGGGCAAAGGGGGAGAAACCGGGACAAGTGTAATAGAATAACAATAAAATGAGATAAAAAGGTTATAATAAAGTCATTGTACTCTATATTAATTATTAATGTTTCTAAACATAATAAAAACAATCCCAGGTTCCTGATTTTGTGGGGGTTTTGCAGTCTGTGAGACGTATTTTTTTTCTCTGTAGTGGTATATACATTACTCAAGTTTGAGGGGCACTGGTGTGATATACACATAACTTTGGTTTCAGAAACCTTGACTTCAAGCAGTAGCTTATTACAATGGGAAAAACATTTCTGAACCTCTCTTTCTATAAACTGGTGTCATAGTAACTTCACAATGTTTCACAGGGTCATTGTGAGGATGGATGAAGTAAAGGCTGGAGAACCTTAGAAACAGTTACAAGCTATATGAATAAGCTGTGTGCCCTTTATGACTGCTACAGCCCTTACGTGAACCACACCACAATGTTCCAACAGGCAGAAAGAAGCCTCGAGCTTGCGGATTATGCAGAGACCAGATTCCGGGTGAAGCTGGCTGGCATCATCAAGACACTGCTGAGGTTCACAGAAACCCAATAGGGACAAATCGTGCATCATGAAAATGTTTTCTTTATTTTCTATTTCACTGAATATCAGGTAAACTTAGGGGTTTAGTGATTGAGCTGAAAGAAGTCAACATTTAGATTCATAGAGGTCACCTTTCAATCCAGAATTCTCCTTAAGACTCCTCAACCCAAGGCCTGCATGTCCTCGGCAGTCCCCAAATGAGACTGCTTGTTTCTTGGATCCTTCACTGACTTAAACTGCTCATGCATCTTTGCCAGTGTATACACTCCAAGACACTGAGAGTTTGAGTGGTGTAACCTAGCTTTTGATTTTATGTGGATCATTTAGTTTTTAGATTTTAAGGTTTACCAGGGCTGAAACAAATGTGCTCCCTTCCTTTCCACACTGCAGCGTGGGTGGAATGTAGATGCTTTTACTGAAGGCTTGGTGAGTCTAATTCAGTTGGGTTGACTTCACCAGGGACAAACAAGTGTTGTCTTCTCCATTGCACCAGCAATTTCTACAAGAATGATGAGGTTAGGCAGCCCTATGGGTAGAGTGGCATATGAGAAAGGGTCTTTGTAGAAAATAAGAGTCCCTTAGGGGACTCAAAGTCATCAGATGGGGACATATCTTGAGCCATGAACCTTCCTTGGATAAAAGGATATAGGGTAGGTGGACATAGTGTTACACAGGATTGGTTATTTCCGCAGGAGGCAGATAGATTCCGATTTGAATGTGAGGAAGGAAAAACGCCTGTTTGATTCAGGTGTTTGATTGAGGTGAATGATTTAGATAGCAGTAAATGAGCCCTGGGATTATTTGTGAGGTTTGGACAGGGGAAGAAAAAATGCAAATTGGCCTTATATTTCCCTAGTGACCTCAATATTACCAATCTTGGAATTCCTACCTCTTGTACTAAGAGAACTGATATATTGAGGATGTTTTCTGGCCTTTTAGGGAGAGTTCTCATTTTGGGTACTCTTAGACTAGACCCAGACCACAATGCACAGGGGCTGTGGCAGAAGGAAGGCCTGTATCAGTGTGGTTGGGAAAATAAAAATATGGGTGTAATAATTCATAGTTTTAATTTGAACATTTCACCAAAAATGTCATATGGTGTGCTTGAGTGTGATATTTGTTATGTTACAGAATTACACACTTATGATTTTGATTATGATTTTGAAAAAGAGGTGTTATTTGTGTTGAACCCGGTATAAAAGAATGTGGAAAAACTGTCACAATATAAAAAAGACACAGTAAGAAACCAAGAGAAGAGTTTTTTTTTTAATTATTCCTTCATATTCAAACTTCACAAACAGTGTGAACTTGTACAATACCTCGGAAAGTGAAACTTACAAAAAAAGTGCTGGTAACATTTAAAAAAAACAACAAAAACCCCAAAAAACAAACATCATTCTTAGCAACATCAATTACTCTTCCACACAAAACAGAAACCTTGTAAAATTTATTTTCGTATTTTTAAGGCGTAATACTTCTGTATAAAGTATATGCAAGAGATAAAACTTCACAGTATTCCAAAATGTCACAATAATAATAATATAATAGTATAATGAAGCGCTACAGTTAATTTTTCTTTTTTTGAATGTTTTTTTCCTGTTTAAATAACAAATACAAGTCACAGGTAAATATACGTGAGAAAAATACGAGGCTAATATTAAATGGCAGGTAAGGATACTGTCACTGTAAGAAAAAACTGGCAGGATGTGTGTATTTAGTCTATATTTTAAAGCACTTGATAGAAAAGGCGTATGCAAGGTTTTTCAAAACAATTTTTCTGTTTGATAACTGTCAACAATTTAAGAGTATAATGAGGAAAAAAAAAGGAACAAACTCCCTCTCAAAACTATTGACCTGCTCATCCCAAACCACGTGCGTACTGCTGGGTGGGTGTGTGTTTGTGTTTACACGGGTCACACGGCACATGGGTTGGTGCAAGCAGTGTTCCACGCCCTCCTGCAAGGGTCAGAGGCTATAGTCTCTGAAGTCACCGAGCCCAAGTTCCTCTTGGGAATTTACTCTTTTGATTCGAAGCTCTCTTTTTCCTTGCCTCTCCCTCTTTCCAAACTCCTCCCAATTCCCAGGTCTTCTGTCTCAACAAACAATCTGGTTACAGAAGTTACCCTCCCTTCAAAATTCACTGGGAAATAGAAACTGCATAAACAGCGACACCCACACAGACTTTGAAAATACCACTTGGATGAATGGATACGTTTGTGTGTGTGTGTGTGTGTGTGTGTGTGTGTACAGTAGTAATTGCAAAAAAGGGACCACATTCCTTTCCGTACAAAGATACACTGTGATAAGAAACATTTCTGTGCAGGAGATAGGGTTTCTTCGAATCTTATCACAACACTGTGGCAGGAAAATCAGGAAACGGGTTCGCCTTCCAGCAGTCACCACAGTAAACTTCATCGAGACCACATGTGCCCAGACACCTGGTCTGCGCGCACATGCGTGTTAACAGCTAGCCATTCAGCCAACAGGTAACAGAAAGACAGCAGATAGCAAAACATGTCAATAAGGTGCTCAAAGAAAAAAGTGGCACCCACTCCTCGAATGGATGGCCACATTAAGGTGCTTCAAAAAAGTTTTTTTTTTTTTCAGTTTTTATTTCAAACATTAAGAGAGTATTGATTTGCACATGGTAGTTCTGAGCCAGGCCAAGGGTTTTGAGATTACTGACATCTTCCATTGAAAAGGGCTTTCACTGTAGTTGTTTTACTCAGCTTGTTGTGGGTCATTGAGTTTAAAAATTTATTTAATAGCCAAAAACTCAAATCAAATCAACACAACTAAAGGAAGTAAGACGAAATGGTATAGAACATTACTGCATTGCCATTGGATCAAGATGGTTTCGCCCACTTTTCCTCTTTCACTAACACTGTTCCTTTTTTAATCTGTTACAATCCATTCCTGGTGAATGAATACACAGAAATGACCGAAGTCACTGCAAGTAGCTGTTTTTATTTTTTGTGATCTGTTGCAAGAGTCCAACCTTGTTTCCGCTGCTGCTGTTTGTGTAGCATCTGGGTTTGTATGAGCATCTGGTCTTGTGTGCACGTGTGTATATATGCACCTATACACACCTTTACATGTATAATATATACACTATATATGTGGATATATATAAGAGGTGTGTATACATTTATACATAATATAGTGTATATTGTTTCAACTGGAGATAAATTGAACTGGGTTCAGACACTAGCACGTGTTTCTCTTTCCCCTGCTCCCTCTGCCCGTTTTAAACAGTATGGAGCTTCTATTCATTTTTTAAAGTGCATTTTCAATGCAGAATAGCTGTAATCCACTGATTCCTTGGAAAACACTTTTGATAAGAAAAATCTGACGGTTCTCAGCCCCAAGCAAGAGAAACCTGGGTTTGGTCATGCCAGGGGCTGACGTGGCAGTGCCAGGCTCGTGCCTGAGTGATTACTGGGCATTCTGGACTCCGGGCACCTTAGCAGCAGCAGCAGCAGCAGCACCTTTAGGAGAAGGCGGAGATAGAAGAGGAAGGAAGGAAGGAAAGCTCAGATGAGGAAGGATGAGTTTGCGGTGCGTTTACAGGTTGGAATTGTCAACTTTGTATGGATTTGTGCAGTTCCTGCTTGGCTCCAGCTAAGGGATGCCATCTCGTCTCCTCCCCACCAACTGATGCCAACCTGCCCCTGTGCCCGCACGTTCAAGCATCGCCCATGTGTCTCCTCTCCCGAGGCTGACTTCCCTGTCAGTTCCCTGTGGGTACGTGAGTGCCAGCACTGATTAGGAATAAGGCACCAGAGAAATCAAAATGTTACAAAAAGATGCAAAACCCCATTTCAAAGAGCCTCTCCCATTGCTCCATTAAAGTATTGCATGCGATACCATTTATCTGTGTGTACCTAAAGTGTGCCAAATGCCGTCTTTAAAAGGAACTCGAGGCCCTTCAGCACCGGAGACCTGTGGGAATGCGTCCCACCTCCACCCCACTCCACATGCAAAAGCACCAGATCGGGGGGAGCAAGGCTGCTTGCCATTGCTCACCTCATTTTCGATAAAAATCAAAGAAGTCTATGAAATAGAATTTTCAGGAATTGCTTTAAGGTTAAATAGGTTTAGGCTGTTATGTATCTAGTTACGTGATGTTCTAAATGTCCAGAATGTCACGAAGGGGTTGAAATGTTTGTGTTCAATGTTTAGGGGGAATGCGCTACACAAAAATTACTTCTCAAATGATGCCCAAGTCCTCCTCCAACACTCCAACCTCCCCTATTTTTTTTTTAATACACTGTAAAAACGAAAAGGTTCACCTAACTATAAAAGGAAAAAATGAAGGCACATGATTTTATTCGGTCCCAGAAAATGATGTTTTGCAAGTTGGTGTGGGTGTGTGCGCATGTGCACACACACGAAACGGGAGTCCAGGGGCCACTGGGGCAGCAGTCCAGAGGAAGTAGAAAAAGGAGAGCGAGAGAATTTTGAGACAGAGAGAAGAAAGAAGTAAGGAGGAAATGGAGGCTTCTCTTCAGCTTTCTATCATTGACAGTCTCAAGATTTGGCTGCTTTAGGGTCCAGAACGGAATTCATTTGTCTTGGTCTAGAAAGTGCCCCCAGTTAAATATCTCCAGTTAATCATGTTACAGCTTTTGGTGCTTCCCCTTTCCCTTCCCTCCAGCCAAATGACTTTTTTTTTTTTAAATCACAGTTTTTAAACATTATTTTTTCAATGTTGAAAAAATATGGAAAAGCTATTGAACAGCCTCAGGGCACTCTGCCTCTCCGTCTTCACAGTGAGTGGATGGACAATGTACAGGATCAAAGAGGAGGCCGGCGCCCTTGCACTACCTCGCCCTGGGCAGGGCGCGCCTTCACAGCTCGCACAGCCATTCCTTTCCGCTGAATCCCTCCGCCCCTATCCCGTCCAAGGCTTGTGGGCTGCAGACAGAGGCAAAGCCCTGTTGGAGAGCGATGGTTAACAGGACACTGTCAGAAGCTAGGAGAAGCTCTCTCCTCAGGCGCCGTAAGCAGCGTGCTCTGGGCAGCCTCGCTACAGGATGGTGAGGCGTGGTTGCCCACCGAGAGGTTGAAGTCTCACTCACATTTGCTTCGCAAGGCCTCAACTTCCAGGCTCACCACCTTTTAGCCTCTCTCTCTGCACCAGAGTTGGCCCCAGTCCTTCGAAGGCACTGGTCCAAGACGGAGAGGCAGAGTCAACTGGCTGTGTCGTACAAAAAGGGCTGCGGACAGTGGGATTTCTGAAACAAATTTAACTTTGGTTTTCTGACTTCCTCAAACCATAACAATTAAAGCAGGGCTTCAGTGGCTTCCATCATCTGACTGCTGTTATATATATTTTTTCTCATTTGGCAAGGCTAAGGTGGGAGGAAGAGAAAAGGGGTTCCCATAATTGGTCGAAGACACAGGGTGGTAAAATGCTTCCACACTTAAACTCACAGTCCAGTGTTTTTGACATTTCATAAATAGCATTTTTTTCTCTAAAAAAAGAATAAAACAAGAACAATCCCTTTACTTACTCATCTGAAACAAAATAAACAGCAGTGGGTACAAACTTCTTCTTGTAACAATTACAAAAAACAACAATATAATCCCAACTTTAAACACGCATCTTGAATCAGTTATTTTTTTTTAACCTCAAAACTGCAGCATATCCTTAAGGGCAAACTTTTCGATTAGTTTTTTTCTTTTTTTTCTTTTTTAAATAATGTCTTCACCAAAAAAACAGTCTTGTACCAATAAAATGCATTCAAAAATAGAAAATATTACACAACAAAAATATGTATCCTTCCTTTCCAAAAAAGATTCTTCACAAAAAAATGTAGAAAAAATTCCAACAATTTTTTTCCTCTCCTAAACATTAATTTCAGTCTAGGGCACAATTATTTATTGATTTAAATGTCTGTTTTTGCATAAAACATGGAAGATGCAAAACAATTACTGCATTAAGATTGTAAAGTTACATCCACTTCCACCCCTACTCTGAAACAAAACCAAACCAGAAAAACCCAGCAAACACTGAGCAAATGAGCCTGCCCGGTTGGCTAGGAAAACTATCTCTGCCTTTGCATTTCCTGCGCCCGTGCAGGGGCGCACCGGCTGTGCTGGTATCTGGGGCCGCTGAAGAGGCCAGAGCAGGTTGGAGTCAGGAGGCTGTTCAGCCACGGCTGACGACGTACGCGTCATTGACAGCCTCCCACGCTGCCGGCCCATCCGCTGCAAATCACAGAGAAGAGAATCCTGTGAGGCAGTACGTGGGCCGAGCACTAAGCTCTGTCCGGGTGTGCAGCACACATACCTCTATACAAGCCACTTTCTCAATCGCAGTGTGTGTTTTTTTTTCCTCTCAAAATGGAGCTTAGGCATGGGATACAAAGTGATGGAGAGCCACGGTGGATGAGGAAGGTCGGGGTGACTTCTTCCACAGTTGCCTGTCCCACATTCACCTGGATTGGGCATCATTAACTGGGACAATGGCAGGCTCTCAGATCTCAAAGAAATGCTCCTTGAGAGAAATCTTCCCCATTGAACCCAGGTTTCTTTTCTATTTTCAGCATTGTAGTTTAAATGATACATTTTTCTTATTCGATGATATTTTTCTTTTGTGTGGGATATATGTTGTATGTGTATTCGGTACAAGTTGATTTTTTTTCATAGCTTTTTTCCCTGTCGCTTATTGGATTGCTGGTTTTTTCTTTGTGGTTTTTGTTTTGTTTTGTTTCTGATTTTTGAAACAGTGAAATGTGTCCAATTTTATTTCCAGTGCATTCAACAAATTTTAAATTAAAAGAACAAATAAACCCTCCCATCCTTCTAAAGAAAATGACTGATAAAAGTACAATATAATAAAATCAGGCATTTCCTAAAATAGCATGATGTGCAACCTCAATTACATAAAAGAAAAACAAACAAACAAACAAGAATTACAGAGCACAAGAATGAAGGGGCCAAGACTATACAATCTTAACTATGGTGTGACTGGCAAGCACTGGTTAAAAAACGGGTAAGGCTACTCTTAGATTTCTAACTCGACATACTTAACCACTGCTTTTCTGTCTTTTCCTTCAACTCTGAATCTTTAACTCACTAGTTCTTGACATCTCTAAAATGAACAAATTTGTTTTTATATTTTTGGTCTACAGTAGAATTACATATGAATAATATAATAATATTTCATGAACAGGTTGGTACTGCATCCACACGGGGAAAATAGAAAAAAGTACTCAAATAGACATAGCAAGTGGACTCTAGTCTTATAAAAATAACCACAAATATATAGAAATTATAATCAGGGCAACAGATTAAACTGAAAATAGGTGTAGAAAAATGTATTTTGGATCATACAGACTCCTGATAAGCTATGCCCTAAAACTGCAGCCTTCAAGCCTTACCCATGATTTCCACCTTCCATAGGATCACTTGAAATTCAAATGGAAATGGAAACTAAGCAAAAATAAAGTGGACAGGTGGTCGAGCCGGCCAAAGCTTCCAAGTTATCTTAGTTGACCGGTCAAGACCAGATGGACAGCATTTGAGAAACAGTTTGGCCACAGGGGAGCAGCTGATGGTATCTGTTTTTAATTTTGGAGGAGTTCCCAGCCCACTGGTGAAGAAAGAAACCAAGGAACCAAATAATTTTTCTGTTGACATAAAATATATGAGATGAAATATAATTCTGATAGGACATGGTGGTGAGGTGGGAAAGAGTAGAGAAAGTTGCAACAGGCAAACTTCAGGTGCCATCTTCGCCTCCCTTTGTTTTCAATAATTGTTTTCTTTCTTGTTCTGGGCATCCTTTAGGATTTGCTACAGGCCCCAATGTCCTCTAAGAAAGTATGTGTCAGTTCAGCTCTCCATATGCTATCCAGGCTCACTGACGCTCCGGAGGGCTACGTGCCTCTGGAGGTTCCCTGCCCCCACGTTCCAGGCCCCTGATGAGGCAGAAGAGAGATGCAAAGTTGTACTGACAGAGGCTCTTTACATTAGCCTTTCCTACCTGATGGTTGGTTCATACTGACATTTCAGTGTGGGGAAAAGAATATGAAGGACAAGAATGGGTAAGAGTTGAACTTGGTTGATCAACAAGTATAAAGTTTTTCTTTCAGGAAAAAAAATGGAAGAGGAAAAAGAAATGGCATCAGTCAGAAAACACTGTTTTTGGTTTCTTCTAACCTCAAACCATCCTTGGTTTTTCTCTCATTCAGTTGCTCCAGTTTAAAGTAGAGTTTAGAATCTAGTGCAAATATCATCAAATCACAGCATTCCAGGAGCAATCTCCTATCCCTTCACCCTAAGAGAACACTATCCCTTCAGACCTCCTCAGAAGACTGGGAGCAATGATCCAGAAAAGCATAACTGAACACATTAGTAATATAGTACTCACTACAACAAGAAAGGCACTATCACAATAGATCAGCCTCAGCATTTTTCTTGTCACGGGCATAGACATTTTAACCACTCTCACAACCACAATGAAACCCAGACTGGCTTTTTTAACACTTGAATTCATTGGCCAGCTCTCTGACTCCGCACTGGCCGTGAGGAACACTGGTGTGCTCTGGGTCTCTGTGGCCCCGTGCCTCACTAACGACCCTTGTTTGGTTCTGAAATGACTTGGCTCACTCTCTTCCATGGAAGTTGCTTTTTCTCCATCAGCGTCCAGGTCATGACTCTATTTTCACTAGATTACAGTGTCAAGTAGTACTGCTGTTTATTATTTTCCCATTTTTTTCAACCTCTGACCAAACCCTAAGTCTTAAAGACAGTTCAGTAGCTCCTCTAATAACAAACCTCCTGTAAATGTCACTATAAACTGAATGAAAAGCAGAGCGTCACCCTTGACCACCAAGGCGCATCTCTTGAGCTCGCTGCATTACTTTTGTCTGGGAGAGAGGAGGTCAGGCTCTAGAGATTCAAATCTTTGGTGAAAAAACTGCAGTGGGTATGCAAGTTTCAAGGAGGAAGTTGTTTTCCCAAAGTCTCCAGAGAAGTGTCCTAGGACAATCAATGTGAGTACATTGTGTACATGGTCAATTATTTCTTTCTATAACTTTGGTTTGCTGTGGTCAGTACCTGTTTGGTGCCCACCCAATGCACATCTCTAAGTACCTGTTAAGAGCTCTGAATTTAGAGTTTCTTATTTAAAATGGAGCTAATGCTTTGAATGTTTAAGGGATTGGTTATGTTAGTTCTGAAAGCTCTAAATGAAGTTTTCCTAACTAGCAAGGCTGAGAGCTTCCTTAAATTTTTTTTTTTACCTTGCGACAGTAGACTTGGATGGATTTTTAAGGAGGAGAGAGGAAGAGATAGGCATCAACATTATAAACTTAGTAAAGAGGCCTCCACTGAGTGTTTTCCAAATTGATACCTGCACATGTGACAGTGTTCAGAGAAATCCCAAATTAGCTGTTTAAATGGGGTGCGATCCTTTCCTACTGAGCTGGAATCTGCACGGCTGTCACCTTGGATTCTGGAAGAGTCTTCAGCATCTTCCCCCTTGTGTTATTATTCCCTATACAACCGATTGCTTTTCTTGTGATGTAAGATTCTTTTGTTAATAGACACTACAGAGCCATAAACTCTAATTATTTCTAAGATTAAACAAGGCAATAAAAATAAATCCAATTAAAAATTGAAAAAACCAACAACTTCAGATTAAACTTTTAGGCACTGTGGAGGTCTTCTACTTCATAGAGGACAGTCTACACCAGAGCAGCTGGTAAGTAGGTTCTGTTCAATCCTCCAACCCTTCCTCCAATTTCAAAGTTGGCCTAGCATGTTTCAAAATAAGCTTTTCACCTCACTGGTTTTCCGTGTTTATTGCACTCTTCCCTTACTGTCATCTTGAAGGATTTTGACCACATGCATAGCCTTCCTCTTTGGTTAGCTTGATCTAGGTTTTCCCCATGCATGGAAAGTATGCTCAGGCTGAAGGGGTCTCTCCAATGTGAACACCATTACAGGCTTGGTTTATTTTTTGAAAGGGGGACATTACCACCGCCCTCTGCCACACTGGAATGTGCATCATCAGCAAGGGGTCTGGTGGGCAAGCCAAAGCGAAGGTTTTCGCACCTCCGCAGCTGGCTTCCTTACCACCGCGGCTCTTACTGAGAGTTCAGGTGGAGGCAACATTGGCCAACTTCTCTTTAACATCTTATGTTTACTACACTAACCCGGCTTCCTGATAATAAGGAAACAGATCCTGTCAGCATGGCAGTTTCTAGGCCTCATTAAGAATTGGCAGATTCCACAGATTTTCTCCAACCCTGCTAAGACCAATCACGATGGAAATAACTCTCCATTTCTGTGATACTTCTAGTTCCATAACTTGTTTCTTTCTTTGTCATACCTCACACACTGTCTCCCAGCACAAGTAAATACATTTCAGTAGTGCAATGCAGTGCAGTTATATTTAGTGCAAAAAAAAAAAAAAAGAAAAAGAAAAAAATTATCACAGACCCAAGCTCCACCCTAAACAGCTCTTACTAAAGGTTACCAGTGCCACAAAAGTGGGAAATTCAGTCTCTACCTTAAACCTCTGTGAGTCGTCTCTTTTGTTGCCTCTGTTTGTTTCAGCTCAGGGGAGAGAAACAACTCGCATGCACCTATGCATTGTTCTGTGAAACGTTACACCAATTGGCAGAAAACAAAAGGAAGTAGTCAAGCTGAAAACAAGGGTACTATTTAGAAGAGGAAAATAACTACTTAATGCAAAGGTCAGTAGTGGTTTTACTGAATGGTTTTCATCATGTCAAATGGCTCTGATGCTAAAGGGAATGGACACAGGAAAAGATAAAGCTTTCCTGTTTCTCAAAAATATGGTCCTAAATTTAACAGTGCCGGGCTCTTATTGTGGAATAATGCGATCGGCGGCGCTTCCTCCAGGGCCTCGGTCAGCAGCCGCTTCACCTAACACACATAGGGGCTCGAGGGACACTCACCTCTTCATGCCAACCACCCTCTCCCTTGCCTCATTCTTCTCCTATTCACTTTTTTCCTGAATACACACAAATACAGGTCTAGATACACATACACAAAAATTCTCAAGGCCCCTCTCAGGGTGATAGGTTGAAAATTGGTACAAATAGCTCAATGACACACTCACATGAAAAGTATAGTTACTAAATATAATAGCAAATTAGTAAAGAGTCTGCATTGTACCTTTTATTGTATTATTCTATAAGAAAAAACATTCATAGTAAGATCTTAGGGAGCTTACTTCTCACTCAACATTAATCTGGAATTAGTTTGGGATATGGCAGTATTGATTCTGGAGAAATGCTTTGCATTCGGGAATCCTCTAGAGTAAGTTTGTCTGGGTCTCCACTCTGCAAATGTAAATCTGCTGTCTGCTCGCTCTCTGTCTCTCTCTTACTCACACACATGCACACACACACGCTGGAAGCCTCAGGAGAATGACTACATAGTTTAGAACAGATTATATAAACAGAGGTGTTTGGCATAGTGGGTTGGCTACACTCAAATTAGTTAGATACTCTCGATTCTGTCAACTTTTTGCCTTTGTTTGCCACAATGAAGATTACTAAGATAGTCTGGTTTCATGTACTCTGAAAACCACAGTTCTTTTAACAATCGTGCAAAAAAATTTAATAATAAGATATATGAAAGTTACTGTTAGTTTATATCTTACAAGGCACCCCCAGGAAATCTGAGGTTCAGATCAATGGGACAAAGAAAGGAGTTTCACTGCCGCCCATATCCTAGACCATTTTCTCCTACAAATGGACATACAGGTGGTTCCAAATTGAAGTTTGTCCCAAGGAGGGCAGGTGCTCAGCAATCAGCCTTATTTTTTAAAGAACCCCCTGGCAGTGGACATGCACAAAGCACTTCCGGTTATGCCTGAATCTGGTATCGCATCTGAACCACTGGTTTATTTCCAGTTATCCCTCTGCAAGCGTCCTCGCAGCGGGTTAGATCCAGGAGCAGTGTAGGGTTCCCACAGCTTCTCGACAGAGGTTTGATAGTATGAAGAGAAGTCTCAGATCACAGAGAAGAGAGGTTATCTTACAAAGTCTTTGGACTGTAATAGTGAGAGGTGGGCAAGAATGGCGACAGGAGAATGGTGTTAACTTTCTCTGGTAACCAGAACTGTATTAAACTTAGTCCCATCGCATTGTCCTGTTCCCCTCTCGCTCTTCCTCTGCTCACTTAATTGAAATGGTAATTATGTTAAAGACTGAGCTAAGAATGCAAATTATAGCACAAAAGACATGTTATAAAAAGGTTGCCAGGCTATCTGTACATTGAGCTGAGTTGAAAGCAGTATGCTTTCAAATGAAACACTACAATTTTCCTTTAAAAATAAAAGTTTCTACTTTGGCCTGTGCTGCTTGTGTGGCGGGGTGCGGCTGGCGGAGCACTTTCCTCGATGGGCCCGTCTCCCTCCGCCCCTCGCGCCTCCAGCGCCAGGTGGGGGGGCGGGTGAGAAGCAGTGGAGGGCGGGCGTTTTTCTACTGAAGACCTCGTGGACTCAGAACTGTGTGTAGATCAATGGATTTTAGCAGCAATTCTTCTTTTTTCTTTTTCCTTTTCTGGGTATTCTGCACTAGATATTAACAAGACACACCTGAAGAGAATTCTCATTAAATTAACTTATTCCCAGCCGTGTTTCTAAAATTTGAGGAGATGATAAGATTTGTAGTGTAAAATACACGACCTTCACCTGCAGTCAACTCCTATTCTTTGGCCCAAGACCTATTAGTTTAGGGAAATGGGTTTTCTTCTCAAGGAACAGTTGTTATTTTAACTATTCTACCCTCAAAGTGCAGAGAGACTTTCTCTCTGCAAAGCTCTCACATGGCTACTAGAAAAGGAAGATAATATTTTCATGGAGAAAAGACTCCTTAAATGGCAGGACGGAAGGCTTTTTCATTGAACGAGGGAAAGGAGGATGGAGAGGGCCTGCAGTTACCGGACTGCTGCTTATGGCCATCAAATTAAAGAGTCAGAATCTTTACTAGGTTGAGAAGAAAGAGATAAAGGTAATCAAATAAATTAACAGACAAACTTTACTAAAATACACATTCCTCCAGTTTCATGTTTCTAAAAAGTAATAATTATGCTTAAATCAAGGTTTATAGATAGCAAACAACTGTTTTAATGTGTAAAAGTATTATCCCTTGGCTTTACTATGTTAGTTTCACTTTCTTTAAAGGAATTGCATCTGTCACACTTGTCCTAAAGTCCAGTGCAGAAGATAAACTGGTCTGCTACCAGCATCAATCTCAGAAGATTTCCTAAGCTATATTTGTAAATACTAAAACTACAGATCTGTAAAATGAGATGCAGAGTTTCTGAAATGCGTTGTGGTGGGGTTTGGGGGAGGAAGCAAGCTTTTTACAAGGAAAAAAAAGAAATTCCTTCCCAAAGAAGATCCTCCCAAATCTCTATGATGATGTTTCTGACCGTTCTTTTGCTGCATTAGTTACTGTGAGGGCTATTGGTGCTCCTGATAGGTGTCGGCTTGGGAAAGCAGGAGGCTCATAAGCAGGAAGAAATCCACACCCTGGAGTCTCTAGCATATTAAGCAGGATTTCAACATGAACCTAGACTAATGCAGACTGGGGCGAGAGACCCCGGTGTCAGTGTTAGAGCTCTCCTCGGCGGACTAGAAGCAACAATGCCGAGGGGGCATCCTGGAGAAATCTTTCTGATTAACTGGGCCAGATGGGACCTATCAGAACCAGATCCTCTCCCACTCCACATTATACTTTAAATGGTACTATTTAGGATTTGAAAGAGAGTGTTTTATTCTTTCAGAAGCCAATGCCTGAGGAGAAGAGTAGGTAAGATGCAGAGTACTTGAGAGAAAAGACACAGGGAGTCAGAATGGACAGAAGAGGAGAGGCAGACAGGACCGATTGGAAAGACACGCCAAGTGCAGAGCACAGGCCTATGCCACATAAACTCTGGCTTTGAGAAATGCTGGTTTCCTACTAGATGCATGACGGAGGAGAGCTTTTGAACCTTCTCTTTATTGCATTGCTCTCTGTGTTGTGAGCTGACGGTTACACACTGGTTTGATGAAGAAAAAAGCTGGGTCAAGCCTCAAGTCAAATGAAGCATACATTTCTGATATTAAATTTTGCTTCTCTTTGTCAGTGGGTAAAACAAAGAATGAAAGTATACCCTGTGCACTCAAAATCGGGCAATACTCTCAACGTCACAGGATTTGTCTTCGTAAGAGCTGACAGGCAAACAGCATCACGGGAAGAGTGTGGGACTGGCCGTCGGGAAAGGCCGTGCTACAGACAGTGTTACCGGCGAGACCCCATTATCAGCACCTGTGGAGGGACACGCCCAGAACGGCACCGGTCTTTTGGGCCCTGCTCTGGCGAAATGAGATCTAGCACAAGGACCAAATTATACAGCAAGTATTTAGGAACTGGGGAGTGGATGACACAGCCCTACAAGTATCTAGTCAGTCCTAATATTTCATTTAAACATATATTAAGTTTATGTTTAAAAATAGCTGGTTGCAAAGTAGATACTTGAGAAAAGTTTTGAATCTTTCAGTGTCTTAGTACATTACTGCTTAGAGTTCTAACCAATTAATAATTAGTTTTTCCAAACGATAACAAATGACACAATTTCCTCATTGTCTCCTACAGTGTGTTTTACTTATTTTAGAAGAGCTCACTAAGGCTTGAGCAATTGCCCAAATTATTTTGAAATGTTACCCCTTTTGCTAATTTCTGTAAATCTAGTCTCTGGTAATTTGGCTAAATATAAGCAGGTGTTAAAAAGTAGTTAACATTATTTTTTTCTCCCTTGGATATGGTGCACTCATATCAGGAACTTGAACACTGTGGCATTTAAAGAAAAAAAACCAGAAAATATTTTTCTCTTTATCTTCGGCCAAATGTGAAGGTGAAAGGAATTAATGACCTCAGCTAGTACAGTTGACATTTCAAACTATGACTCAGGTCCTCCTACTCTGAAAGAATATTGGTAACTTTTAGAGCCTGAAGGTGCCGTGAAGATGAGCTTCATTCTGCCTACGAGTCTCAAGCTGATGAACTCATGTCAATGCTCTTCAAGTATTTAAAGCTTAAAGAAGGACGTTTACAGTGGGGCAGGGGAAAGGAAGGGAAATGGGCACTCAGGAGTCACAATGATTAGAGTTCTTGGCGTGGTAGTAAGTCCAGGTGATTTAAAGTAGTCTTACAGAGAAACGAGAAACAAAGAGAAAGGCTGAGAGAACACAATTTGGTTATTATGGGATCGTTGGAAAAGGACACAGCTTCCCTAACTCTCAATTTACATATATGTTGTCTAGTAGAAATAGATTTGTTGAAAATTCTGGAAAAACAAATTGAGAATTTTGCTATCGGACTCAATGTTAGCTCCTTCAAAGTAGTCTGGGGTAGGCAGGTCCTTAGTGCAGGGCTCAGGAACAGGGCGCACCAAGGAAAGCCTGGGTGCAGGGGTGGGGAAGGATGTGTCCGAGGGGCACTGCAGGGAAGATGAAAGGAAGAACTTGGTGTTATTCACACTGAGAAGCCTTGATATCGGTCCAGTGTGGGAAGGGCTGCCACGCTGAGTAGTACGAGCAGCTGTTTTCATTCTGTCATGAATATGGCAATGGAGAGAATGAAACCGGTTTCGGGCACCCAGGATGGAGGTGAAGTTTATCCGCCGGTGCAGTTCCCCAGACACTGGTCTGAATAGCGGAAGGAAGTGGAGAGAGCTCTTTTTCTGAAACCAGCATTCGACAGTGTTTCTTGCTAGGAAGACAGGATGCCTAATGTCTGAGGTTCCCACGATGGCCTGGTCAAAGGAGAAGGGAACCAAAACCCCGCCTTAAGGTGACAGCTGGAGATATTGAGGGCCAGGCACCCACGTGCCATCGCTTATTTTACTGATCCTGCAGACTGAAAAATTTATATATATATATATATTTCTCTTAGCCTCTGCCATGAAAAGTCCCCCAGACTCTGGTTTTATTTTTCAAAAACTCCTAGGAAAATGAAATATTACACTGCCAAGCTGCCTCCAGGGAAGCATTAAAGACTAGTTAAAATAGTTGTAAGCATACCGAAAAGAGAAAGTCGTCAGTAAAGAACCAGTCTCAACAACTGATGTTTGAAAATAGAGTTGGAACAACCAGGCATCTCACTGCCTGATGCTTTTCAGATGAGCAGCCCTTTGAAGTGTAGCGGTTGGTCAGGTCATGTGGAGGTTAAGCAGGCTCTTGGCCATAGTTTTTTAAGCAACAGTGACAGTCCTAGAAGGGAAATCACAGACACATTCATATGCACTTCTTTTGTTCTTTAGATATTGAGAGGGTCAGCCTAACAGCATCACTTTGAGTATGAACCTCTTTGTATTAGCCACACCAAAAAAAAAAAAGGTTTTGTTTTTTTTTACAAAAAGTTTTCACTTTCCTACATTTGCTAAGTCTGAGCTTAAAAATATTCTAAAATCCTGTAATGACAATACTGAAACTAATGATTAAAAAAGCAAACTAGAGCAGTAATGATTATTATGAAATGCACCAGATTAACTGCAGCAGGTTGGTGATGGGTGATAAATGCAAAGAAATAATATTTCAATCAACTCATGATCATAGGCAGATTCAAAAGTTAAAATGAATATAATGTAATACATATTTCAATATAGAGTTGCTATATGCATGTTCTAGCTTTCAGAAATACTGCAATGTAGTGTACTGTACTTAAGTAAGCATACCTTAATAGTAACTCATATTTTTCCACAAAGTCACTAGCACTGTTAATTTAAAAAAAAAAAACAACCTCATTTTTTCCAGTAAAAAGAAATACCTATGGTTACAGTCACAGATTCTTTTGGATATAGAAAGACAATATACATTTTAAAAAATAATAACAAGGAAAAGATAGCAACTGTAGGTAGCCTTACTTAATTAATGGGAGAGGGGAAAGTCACCACAATAGAAGAGAAAAGAAAATGTCCTCTGAATTCCGTAAATTAGCAGAAGTAATCTACATGTCATAAAAATGATAAAACTTCTGGTAAAAGGACATAGCAGTGAGAAAACTGAATGTTTCCAGGCCACCCTTCAAAGTCAGCTATGAGAACCAGGCCCATTTACATAGAATAGTATACCTACTTTAATATTAGGCAAGAGCCATCAATTCTTACAGATCACCAGAGTATTTCCCCGAGAGTCTATTGGTTCGCTAGGCATGGTAAACAACCCACTCCTGGAAAGACTTCGGCAAAGGCCACATCGGTTTCAGGAGACACAGTTTATGATGTCCTGCAGAGGCGGACAGGATCAGGAAGCTTTAGTTTGGGAGTAGAACACTCAAGTGGGTGGGTGTTTGTGTGCACACGCTGGGTTGCATAGTGGAAAGAAAGGCCGTTAAGCCACGGAATGGCTCAGGCCAAAGTTTCTATGGGCCTGGCCTGCGTGGCCTCAGTGCCCCTTTCTCCCAGGAGACCTGGGGAGGTGCCCTGGCTGCCGCTCCCTCTTGTCAACTCGCCAGTTGAGTGCTTCTGTTCTACCTTCTTCTGGAGGAAAACAGCCTGCCTCTGTGGGTTTGCTGTGGATCCAACAAGCTGCCTTTGTTTCTCCCAACTCTGAAATGCTACAAAAAGCAACAGAGTGGGCAGGTGACTGCTTCCTGGGAAGACAGCCACGAGTCTGGAGCACAATGGTGGGAAGAAGCAACTGTGTCTGTGCACCAGGACCTACTCCTGTGTGTGCTTCCTTCGAGACACACACCCACACTCCCAGACTACAAGTGTATACACAAACACACACATTCACACACACCAGTAAATCCAATAGAAGTGCAGAGTTGGTTAAGTGCACTTGACTCCACACAAGCTTATTCAAGTTTCTCATAGAAATTACTGATGGGTGGGGTCCTGCAGAACGCCCTGCAGCCTCGTCACAGACAGCGGGTGGCGCTGATACACCCAACTAAGGCAACAGAGTGGAAGTGCCAGGGTCTGCCTTGTCGCCGGGGAATGTGAATTTGGAACACTTTTGCACTGAGGGTGTCCCACGCTGGGTGCACATGCATGATGTGTACTTATTTACAGGCATGTTGGACAGCAGCTGTGCCGTGCTGGGGGCTAAGTCCCTTTCAGTGCTAGAATCTACATATAAATTGCAAAGATTTTGCTGGGCAATAACGAACTTCAGATGCAACAGTGTAGAAACTAATGTCTACTATGAGGTTAATTTTTTTTCTGTCTTGGGTGTATCAGAATCTCATCGAGGCATTTTGAACCAAGAAAACCTCTGAATTTGAAAGAGGGCTAGTAGGGACTTTTTACGCCCTAATTGGGTATCTCAAAACCCAGGACTCCCACTACTGTGGCTAGATTTTCCCTCTGGTCTCAGAGTAGGCTTCTTCACTGAAGACTGGAGAGTTGTGAGTTTACATTTAACCAAGAACCACCAGATAAACCAAATGCTCACTAAAACTGAGAAAAAAGTTTAGAGACATACACTGAATAGGAAAGAAAGTTTGGTTGAGATTATTCTCCGTTGATGATTAAGAATGGAACCCAGACACCTGTGATCCTGTCCTGTGGAATTCACTGTTTAGCTAACCTGATGTTTATTTTGCTTCTAACTCAGAGTTATGTCGCTATGTCACTGAAATAAAAGCTATTTCAGTGACAGCAGCCAATTCCGGACAAGTCTGGTGCCTCCCCTCCCAAACTCACTGTTTCCATTAGTCACGAATAGGGCTCATTTTTGTGATAATGCAACCATTAAAAAGCAAGAAATGTCCATGTCTCCGCACCCTTCCAATTTCTCTCGTCTTCTGTCCTCTCCTCTGGGCTTTCTGATTTAAGGCAATCATTCCTCACTACAAGTGGCTTCTTGTAAAAATACCTTAGCTGAGGTTACTTCAGATTAGATTTTAGTCTGAAAGTATTCGGTATATGGAGCAATAGGCTGGGCCTGAAGAGACACTGGTGTCCAGGTGTTTTAGTCAGTGGTGTGGCAAGAGGACGTTCCTTGTTTCAGCCTGGGGCATCGCCACCCGTCCTTCAGTGAAATGCATGGTTCTGAAAAAGAACCAGTGCCACGCAGCCCTCTTCCTCTACCTGTGCACCCCAAAAATCAACAAACCCGAGCATTCCTCACCATTTTCTGGGCTCTGTTAATGTATACCACTGACCACTATGGACTTAGTGTCCAAGAAAAAAACCATGTTCAGAGACTTAGAAAAATCTTTGGGGCATTTTGGTCAGGCCAGTCACCTTAACACCTAGTTCAAGAAATGATGCTTTCGGTGACTGATCTCTACAGTCTGTGTCTGCAAGAACATTGAGGCCTCAGAGCTTTCCCTCTGTGGAGGCTGAAGCCGCTTCAGATATGGCAACTCTACACAGAGGCTCTTGGGAAAATATTCTTTCTCCAGAGCAGGGGCACTTCTCTTTCTCTTTCTGTCTCTGAGTGCAACCTGAGCACTGGGGTAGAGATTGCTTTTGGAAGTGTGCCCCATGCGGTCTTACTTCGTGGGCACCAAAGAGAACAGCCCCTTTCTCCGTGCAAACAGAAAGAGTCGTGGCCATCCCAGTCGGGAAGTCGTGTGTAGCCTCGGCAGCCCTGCGGCCTGGTCAGCCCGAGCACTCTCTTCACTGCAGAGAGAGGCGTTGGCAGGCGGCTTTGCTTTTTCTATGAAACTGGGGACTCTATTGAAATTCTAGTACTCCCTTCCTTCTGTTTGTCACCAAGTCACATGGTCTTTAGTGTCCTATTTTTCTTTTTTTTTTTTTTTCAATTTCTCTTTCTGGGGCACAAAATTAGCCATTTAAATAATGTTCTTTTCTAGTGAGTAAAGAGGCTTCTCACAGCCAGAAATCACTGAAAAGGAAGTCTATCGACCCTACCCATGGAAAAGCCCAGACATTTCTCCAAGTACCTCTTGCCAAACTTCCTAGTGTGGTGATGGAATATTTTTTGGTTTTGCATTATTGGGGGCTGAATACGTTTTGCAACCCTTTTGTTCTCTTCCCCGGGGCTTCCATTACCCTGGATTCAACTCAATCCTAAATTAAAGAATTCTTTCAGAAGATTTCTCTTAAGAGTCAGGTCACAACACAAAGGGCACTCTCCCATTATCCTAAATCCCAAGGGCATCTCAGGTTATGTCTGCTCCTACGTTGCCCCTTCGTTTTGTTTCTCAGTGCTGCAGCAGAACACTGGCTGTGGTGGAGGCAGATGGGTTATCTCATACCTTTGCTGTAGAATCACACATCCTTCCCTCCCACCCCAACTGATTAAATAACATCTGCAACAACAGAGGAAGGCTCCAGAATGGGCACATCCAGTGTGAATGTGGCCAGAACTACTTCACTGCCCCCTTTCCTAAGGGCAACAGGTGTTGAGAGCATTATGGGGACCACGCCAGGAAGCAACATGAATCTTTACTGTGTTCCCTTGGGGATCCGAGGGACTTACAAGGGGCACATGTTATTTTGAACTTCTGTGCTGAGGGAAAACACTGATTTGGGGCATGGGCTGGGTACATGGTACTGGTTTGCTTTTATGATGGAAGTATACGTAGGGGAGGCCATTAGGACTTAGGTAAACAAACACAGCCCGAGGAAACCCCTTCTCTGTTCACGTAAGAACGCACAGATGCCAGCTGTTCACATACTGGGAAAGGGTTTTCTTGGTCCTGGTAGAATACTGAGATGACACAAAGTAGGACCCTTATGTCTTATAAACGAAGCAGATCCATTCATTCTTTCTAAGACCAGGAGTTAGTGAGACTCTGGGATGCCGAGGGGAAGAAATGGACTGCGGCTGGGACAGAGTCAGGATGTTATCCACCCAAGTTTTTTACAGCCCAGGGTCGGAGCACTAGAAACTGGGGAAGGAGAAAGTCCATAAAACCCACTTAGAGTCAAGTTTACAACTTAGTTGTAATACATAGTAAAAGACATTTTGATATACAATTTTTCAGATGGGGAGTTATTTCTCATTCAGATCCATGTGTTCCAATTTCTTCCCTTTTAAGGCTATATTTTACACATCTGGGGCTTTTGGGGGTACAAATATTAGCATTTAATAGGGGGGATATTGTCCACTATGCTGAGATGCTACCAAGTTTTTAGAGCTGGGAATTTTTTTTCTTCATAAACTAAGTGCCTTGAGATACCTTTTCCTCTTTGACATTTTTTCCTCACCCTTGTTCAGCTGACCCAGTTTAAAATCATAAATTGCTTTAAAAATGTTATTTCCACACCAGTTCTTGTACTCATCCCATACTCAGCCTGAGAGATGTCCATGTGGAACACTTGCTTCCACGTCCCCTATGCACGTCCCCCTGGCTACTGACAAAAACTTTCTTAGCACTTGTAGCATCCTAGCACGAAGCACTAAATGCAAGGCAATTGTCGGGTCTGAAGTCAAGAAACAGAAGGATTCATGGTCATCTTCTATCCTCGAAGCAAAATGTTTCCCCATTTCCTAAGATGTTTATGATTATTTAAAAGTAAAGGTTGGCCACCTAAAAGCACCTCTATCCTTTTGAAATAGGAATGACTGGTGTGTGCTCTAAAATGTAGCTCAGTTTGGAAAGCAGCCCTCTCAGAGGCCAGAACGCACGGCAACGGCCCTGCAGCAGTTACACGGCTCCTTCAGATTAGACCTTCCGCTCCGGTCCAGCTTCTCTGTCTGTCCAGAGAACAACCTATCGTCAGTGCTGGGCTGTGAGGTGCCTGGGAGGAAGAGACACACAGAAGACATGCAGGAAAAGTCTACAGCGATGCAAACCTGGATGGTCCGCACTGTCATAATGAGAACACCACCCTGCCAAAATTCTTCAGGGATCCTCTGACATTTTTAAAAAAGAGATACTTCCTTTGAAGGAATGAGTATTCGGTTTTCAAGCCCAGTTGGAACTTTTCCCCCTACATGTTCCTTAATCCAATTGCTTAGCTCTTTACATGGCAAATCAGTATTAAGGCAGATGGGTCTCCTTTGAATTTGAGAAGCAGAAAGCTACGTGTGGCCCGTAAGGGCATCTAGATCAAGTCTTCTGGAGGTATTATGAATTCTGCCTAATTTGCTAAGGTTTAAATAAGGACACTATTTTAAAAGCTACTGTCAAATGATTGAAAATATTTTAAAGTGGCTTTTGGCCTTTGTTCGTTTATAATGTATGCTGAATGCTATCATGTCATTTCCCTCTGGATTAAAACAATTTTTTCTTTTAATGTCAATTTTTTCTTTTTTATTTCGTGGGTTGAATGACTTGTTTTGAAAATATCAAAAGAGTTCCATGACATGGTTAATTAACTAATGCTCCCTCTGTTGGTATTAAGTGGGAATATATGAATCTTTCAAAATTGCTCTTTTACAAAGCCAAATTAGCAAGAGAAGAGTGGACTTTTTCTTAGTTCTGAAGCTGTTTTTTACTAACTTTTAAAACGGGCCAATTCTGGACACACAGTTCTTGGCAGAACCCCATTTAGAAATCATGATGGGTGATATTCCACAGTCAGTTAACCATCTGAATGCACATTAAAACTTCTAGCAAAATATTTACTGAATTAAGGACCACGGGAACGAACCCAGCTCACATATTCTCCAGCTGCACTAACTCTACTAAACATCACCAAGAACTTCTGGAAAAGATCTGAGTTAACCAAAATTCTAAACTATATGGGTAAAACCATTTTAATCATTACAGAGTTGCTTCCCTTGGAAGACTTTTCCTTTGCTACACAGTTTTTGAAAATAAGTTGCTGAAAGAAAAATTAGTTAAAAGACGAAGTAATTTTAAAACTAAAATATTCTATTTTCTTCTCTTTTAAAATTCTAGTTTGGTGTTTCTGCTTTGTTTGAACTACTGATTTTCCCCTTAAGTGTGTTAAACATATGCCCAGCAATGTAAATCACCTTTGGCGTTTCTGATAGGGTTAAGCACTCTACATTTGGGTTGGAATCCCTTCTGGACACTGTCTGGTGTAAATGGAAAAACCTCTATTATAAGACCTTGATCAGGACCGAGGAGAGAAATCCCAACTAGGAAGAGAGAGTGGCACCTAGGATGATGCAGTGGATTGGTGGCCTTTGAATGATGGATGGTGGCATCTGGGAAACTTTTGTTCCTTTCCTGAAAACCTTTCCAAAGAGCAAGGGGTTAATAAATCAGCTAAAGAACGCTCATTTTACTTTGCCCTCTCAACCATGGTGGAAATAGTTGGAAGGTAGTATTTGAAAGGAAGAAAGTAATTTTGGCATCAAGGCATCCTGCTCTGTAACAGGTTTCTGATACCTCTGCTCTCTGTAGCTGTGAAGGGTGAGGAGCTGTGGCAGAGTTTGGTGAACTCCTCCTCCGGGCTGACCACACGGGAAAGAGCCCGTTTGTCAAGACCTCTAACCCACTAGTGTTTCATTAAAGAAAAAAGTAAAGTCAATAGAAATCCTAGAATCAATGAACTTTTAGAGAACCAAGAAATCTATTTCTGAAAGCTGAAGTCCCTCCCATGAAAAAGAACAGAGTTCTACATGGATCAGTTGAACAAAATATTCAGTGGAGCAACCTAAGCTTGCTAAAAGTCAAGGAACTACATATCAAAATACAAAGCAGCAGTTCAAATTACAGCAGGGATGGGCGGGCCCGGAGGCCCTCATCAACCCAGGCAATACTTAAAATAATAAAAATTAAGAAAAATTAAAAAAAATATGAAGAAAATATCCTTCCTCTCTTTCAAATATAACTATAATTGCCTTTTATTCTTTCTATCTGGAAGCAGTATCGCTAACCTTAACAGTCTTGACTTACCAAAAAATATATATATGTGTGTGAAATAAAATAAAAGAGAAGGGATTGGTGGCAGTGTATGCAAAACCAAAATGGAAAAAAAATTACTTTTAACAATCTCACTTTTTTTGTTTTTTTTTTACACAAATACTGTTGTAAATATATTAAAAAAATCAGCATTCTATCTGGTAAACGTCACTTTTGCCCCTCTATAAAATTTTGAATTAAAAAAGCCTCAAGAACTTTTTATTATCCCCCCACCCTCCATTCCTCTTTCTTTTTCTCTCCACAAGAATATATCCTGACTTTTTTGTTTTTTGCAAAGATCGTTGGAAATAATCCTTCTCTTGTACCTAGAAACGTAGGTGCAAACCTCTGATATCTTTGTTTTATCTGCATTCCTGCCTTTCATGAAAGTCCCTCTTGATTGTGCTGAGGCTGTGGCTCAGCGAAGACACTGAATAAATACGATAGCCACTGTTGCTTGATGCTTGTCCACGTCTTCCTGGCTTCTGCTGAAAGGGGGACACGGAGTAGGTGGGCTCGGGTGCGTGGACCCGAGCAGAAGCTGGGGAGAAGCCTGCTGTTCGCCTTTCCCACATCACCCAACCCACTGCCCCTTCCCGCCTCCACAGCCCTTTTATGAAATCAGACATCGTGGTAGGTGAAAACAGCAGGGCCCTTCCTCTGGGTTTTCAACCAGAAGTGACATTCCACAGTTTTAACTGGTTACTGTGAAGTCCGAGCGGCCAGAATTGTGAAAATGTCCACTGAAACACTGCAAGCGGTGTACTTAAAGACAGTCGGCCTTTTAGATTTTGTTATATATTTTTGTAGTGCTCTTCACAAGTGAAAAAAAAAATTTTTTTTTTACTTTTTTTTAAAATATTTTTTTGTAAAGAAGGGTTGTATTTAGAGGCCAGTAGCTAGAGATCCAACCAGTGGACCTCCTGAAGCACTACCAGGCCTTAAGGCCACTATCCGAGGGAGGCTGGGCAAACTATTGTTCACCCGAGCCTCCGGAAATGTAATGTACCAGCAGGCAAAAAACAGTTCTTCATGTAGTACAAAATGAAACAAAACAAAAACAAAAACGAGAAAGTAAAAACGAAACCAAAACATTTCTTAAATTCTAGTGCCATAGCTTTTGTGTGTGTGTTTGTTTCTTTTGTGTTGTTCATGAGAAAGAGAGAAAGATACTACTTATCCGTCAGACACGTGCATCCTCATGTGGTCGTTGAACTGCTCGATTTGGTCAAACTTTGCAGGACAGACGGAGCAGACATAAGTGGTCCCCTCCGTGCAGGCCACCACCCCTGGGGGGCCAGCGCGGGCTCCGGGGGGCGTGCCTGCGGGAGGGGTCCCGTTGCTGGCACTGTGCAGGGCCACGTGTCGCTCTAGGAGGGTCTTGTGGGAGAACTTCTTTTTGCAGATGTAGCATTCATAGGACTTCTCCCCCCGGTGGAGGCGCATGTGCACATTGAGAGAGCTCTTCTGGGTGAAGCGCTTGTTGCAGATGCTGCACTGGTAGGCCCTCACTCCTGTGTGTGTCACCATGTGCTTGATCAGGTAATCCTTTAAGGAGAAGGAGCGCCAGCAGATGCTGCATTGGTGGGGCTTCTCACCTGTTGATGTGGGAAGAGACAGCAAGCAGGACAGAGCGAGACACAGTGAGGGAGAGAGAATGAGAGACAGGAAACAAGACAACGAAAAAACAAAAACAAAAAAATTAAAAAAACAAAGTCTGACTCCTTCATGGATCACTCTTGATTGGAAAGATCCAATCCTTCCTGGCCTCTCATGTTTTGAGAAAACTTGCTTTAAAGGTGGCGCAAGGCAGCCTAGAGCTTTCTGTTAGCGGGTGCCAGGAGGTGCCTTTCTCGGACAGCTACAAGACATTCCCCACTAAATGTCCTCAACGGTCATCCTGTAGAGAAAAGGGCGGGCTAGTTTAAGGGGGTCATTTTCAGTGTCATCATTATGGGATTTAACTGTGTTTCCCATTAACTTTATCAAACAAACATAAGAACTAAGAGGGAGGAAAGATCTTTGGAGACAAGGGGTTCTCTCTAATCTTTGGGAACTAAGAACAGTGCTTACACAGCTTGGCTCCTTGGGGACTCTCTCCACCTCGTGTTCGATCGAGCGGGCACACTCATGCCTGGATTTTAGGCAACTACCGACTAACATGGGAATAGGTCATTCTGAAGAGCTACACTTTCAGTTCTACCTAGTTTAGATAGAAATCTTCTCAAAATGTGTTAACTGGCTATTCTGCCTAGACTGGACTGAACTGCAGCTCTGCCTTGTCTGCTGTGGAGGCCCAGTAAGTGGTGGACACTGTGGTGACCTCAGCTGGTCCTGTTCAAATGCAGGCCCCAACATCCGGCACCCGACTCCGACAAATGTCCAGATGCCTGTGAGGTACACAGTCCTACTCACCTCACTGAGTTGGCGTTGACATAAGAAAACATGAAATCACTTTGCAGACCACCAAGAGTGATGTGGGAATAGCTGCATGCTGTTCTTATTACAACACTACCCACCCTCTCCCCTCTGCCCATTAACTGTTTCCATACGCTTTTTTTGAACTCTTGGGTCAATTTAAAAAATAGTTTTCTCCTTTACTTTCAGTCTGTTGGCTAAAACTCTTCTTTCTCCTCAGTTTACTGCTGACTTAAGAAACCTACCCATCAAGTTTGTTCAAAATAGTAAGGTGAATATTGTCACCGAATAACCACATGAGGTGATGTCCACAGGCCGGACATCTCTTTGGATAAACAGACGTGTGTTCTGTTGGTGCGGTTTGTTCTCAGCCCTGCTCTGGACAGATGAGCTGAACTGCTTTACGGTGTTTGCACCTCCCTCCTCATTTCTGACTGCCCGCCTCAGAGCGGAAGGCCTCTGCGTGCTCCTTCACGACCCGGCCTGAAGACTCCCAGCCCCCAAGCCTTCCAAGCTCTTAGGGTAATATTTCAACATCTGGACTACACATCAAGGTAGGAGGACATACATTTCCTAAATTTGAGTTAACTTCCCATTAAAACATGTGCCTCGATTTGTGTTTCCGGCTTTTTCCATTGTGAAACAGAAGAGGTTGGATGTGTCCAGGCAGCAAGGGCCCCGAACACAGTTGCCGTCTGCGGAGAGTGTGTTTTCCACCTGGCGCGGTGTGGGTGCTTTATTATGCTCACGATCCGGTTTTTGGAACTTCGTCCCATTAGAAAGCTTTCCCATTGTGTTTGTAAGCAGAAAAGGATATGTTTTGAAGCACAGGACTTGAAGAAAAGGCCATTTTGTTAGGGAATTACTCCACCAATTTCTTAATTTCATGGACCTTTGCAGTCTTTCCCTTTACTTAGTCACAAATGTCCTGGCCTGCCCCCGGCCCCTCTCAGCTCTGGTCTGATCTTCCCCTCAATCCTGCTGAAGGGACCCTATCATCCATAGGATCACAGGGTTAGAAGTGAAACATTTGTTTTACTTTTAGACTAGAAGGAGAGAATTTCAGGAAGCCTCCCTCCTAAGTGAAGAGTTCAGCCTGTACGTGGTGTTTACACAGATACATTTTTTGAACTGAGAGACTCCCTATGAGAGACAGTCATGCGTGTTATTTTTAGTTGAAACATTTCTGTTAAGTATAAACACGCTTGGAACTCAAGCTGGCCTTTGGCCTCCTGGTACTTTCGATACACTTTCTAGAGGCAATGATAGGCTGGCCAACTATCTTTTAAAACATGTCCACCTGGCACCTTTATTGGGAAGCATGACTTCTTAAGTACCAGATGGTATTTTGGCTGCTAGGAAGCTGAAACTTCTACGTGAGGGAGCTCTCGCTGTTTGAAACTTTCCCCTTCTTCTAGTGTGTTTTTCCTCTAGGCAAGGTCACCGAGGAAGCTTTTCACTTTCACACCCTTCTACTCTGACTTTAAATCGATTCTTCACAGTTGTCATCCTTCCCTTCGTAGCACAGATCTCTGTGTTGTTTGTATGCACAGAGTGTGGTTTCCCTGTTAATTACGCCTGACCCTGGCCTTCCCAAGTGATTTCGTCTCTCTGGGTTTGTTTCCTTATGAAAGCGGGGGGCAGCACCGAGCACTTGCCGTGGTCCTTGCACACTTGGCTGCCTTGCCTTCTGCCCACTGCACCCACAGCCCCTGAGGACTCCAGCCTAGGCCTTGTCTGTGGGACCTGAGGGCAACCTGCTTAAATCACTCGGCACATCAGCAGTCCCACATTTTAAATAGGTCAAGGTATCCTGTGGCCTTTGCTGCCACAGAAAAATGGTATGATAGCTAATGAGGGAGAATGTTTGTGAAGAAAGCACTTGGCAGCTCCGTAAAGGAAAGTGCTCTCAATAATTAAGGTGCTGTCCTGGTGGTACATAGGCATTTCAGGGACTGTCTTACTAAATGGGTTGTGCTTTCAGAGTCGGCAAGTGTCCACAGCTTTCATTTCTATACGTTGGATTTGAAACAGTGTCACTCAGTAGAAATGTTAAGTATTTTTCTTTCCTGTTATTTTCCTGCATATTACTTATAGTGATTCCAAAAGGGCTTTCACAACATTATATGTGAGACGGATGCATTCTGCTGGCTGTTGCTCTCAGGGCGGAGAAAAGAAGTTTACACATGAGTGGTTGTGGATGGTTGTGAACCTATGGCCAGAAATGACAAGTCTGATCGTTAGATTCAAAGCAAAAAACAGAATATAAAACAGACATTAGAATTATAATGTGAGAGGGAAGCTCACATAAATTCCTTAGCTTTAAAATGATCCATTTGGGGGTTAATCAGATGCAAGAGTCACATTCAATTTCCTTGGTGGAGTGAGTTGGGCATGTTACTTAATCTCTCTAAGCCTCAGTATCCTTATCTGTAACTTGAGAATAATATAGTAAGTACCAGTCTTCTGGAGGTATTGTTTTTCTTTTTGTGAAAATATATTTTATTGATTATGCTATTACAGTTGTCCCATTTCCTCACCTTCACTCCCCTCTGCCCTGCACACCCTTTCCCACCCACATCCCCCCCTTAGTTCATGTCCATGTGTCATAAATTCTTTAGCTTCTACATTTCCAGTACTATTCTTACCTTCCCCCTGTCTATTTTCTACCTACCATCTATGCTACTTGTTCTCTTTACCTTTTCCCTTTCTCTCCTCCTACTCCCCTGTTGCTAACCCTCCACATGATCTCTATTTCTGTAGTTCTGTTCCTGTTCTAGTTGTTTGCTAAGTTTGTTTTTGTTTTAGGTGTGGTTGTTAATAAATGTGAGTTTGCTGTCATTTTAGCATACATATTTTTTATCTTCTTTTTCTTAGATAAGTCCCTTTAACATTTCATAAAATAAGGGCTTGGTGATGATGAACTCCTTTAACTTGACCTTATCTGAGAAGCACTATATCTGCCCTTCCATTCTAAATGAAAGCTTTGCTGTATAGAGCAATCTCGGTTGTAGGTCTTTGGATTTCATGACTTGGAATACTTCTTTCCAGCCCCTTCTTGGCTGTAAGGTCTCTTCAGAAATCAGCTGACAGTCTGGTGGGAACTCCTTTGTAGGTAACTGCCTCTTTTTCTCTTGCTGATTCTAGGATTCTCTCCTTCATTTTAATCTTGGGTAGTGTAAGCATAATGTGCCTTGGTGTGTGCTTCCTTGGCTCCAACTTCTTTGGGACTCTCTGAGCTTCCTGGACTTCCTGGAAGTCTATTTCCTTTGCCAGATTGGGGAGGTTCTCCTTCATTATTTGTTCAAAAAAGTTTTCAATGTGTTGCTCTTCCTCTTCTTCTGGTACCCCTATAATTTGGATGTTGGAACGTTTAAAGATGTCCTGGAGGTTCCTAAGCCTCTCCTTTTTTTGCATTCTTGTTTTTTCATTCTTTTCTGTTTGGTTATTTCTTTCTTCCTTCTGGTCCACTCCATTGATATGAGCCCCAGTTTCCTTCCCATCACTAGTGGTTCCCTATACATTTTCCTTCATTTTACTTAGTGTAGTCTTCATTTTTTCATCTAATTTGCAACCACATTCAACCAATTCTGTGAGTATCCTGATCACCAGTGTTTTGAACTGTGCATCTGATAGGTTGGCTATCTCTTTGTCACTTAGTTGTATTTGTTCTGGAGCTTTGATCTGTTCTTTCATTTGGGCCTTTTTTTTTTGTCTTTATGCACCTGTTGCATAGTGAGGGGCGGAACTTTAGGTGTTCACTGGGGTGGGGCAACCCACGGGGCTGCACTGTGACACTGTTGCTGGGGGAGGGTCTGAAAGGGAACAATACCACTTGCTCCACTCTCTGCTAGATTTAAGTCCCTTCCACCACTTCACCCCAAACAAACTGGGCCCTTCTGGTGCTGGTTCCCAGGTGTGTGGGCTTGTGTATGTTCTAGGACCCTGGGGGTCTCTCCAATAAACTCTCCTGTGAGGCTGGGAGTCTCTTCCAGCACCTCAACCCCCACAGGTATTTTCAATTGGTGTGCTGAGGATTTATTTCCCTGCGCTGGAGCCCTGGGTTGTGTGGTCTTTCTCATTCCCCAGTTTTGCCTGGTTTATCTGCATGTGAATGTGGGACCACCAGGTCTGCCAGCTGCCTTGCACGCCTTGCTGGGTTCGCCTGCTCCCACCCTGA